TTAATACATGCACATGTTATATTGTGTGTTAGTTAATATTATATTTCTCTATATTATATTAGTGATGCACGTTTTATTGATACACATTTTAGATGCATGTAATATATCAGTGATGTTAGTGATGCAGTAAATGAGTTATCATTAATATACGTGAAAAAGACATGTTAGTGATGCATGTATTTTTTGGTTGATTAAATAATTCATTAACATAAATGAAAAAGACAAGCATTTAAATAGGATGTTTAATTAATATAACTGAAAAAGACAAGCATTTAAATAGGAAGTTTAATTAAATTCTCAGTGGCATATGAGTGTAAATAAGTTGGAAAACTTAGGGGTATTTTTTAGTGGGTACTTCTCTTTTAATAATAGAGATGAGGCGGGTTGATCTATAAATTCTCTTGGTTCATACATTTTACTGTTAAACCCATTTATCAAGTATTTTTTCTTTTGTAACTATCAAACTATGTTGATGAAATAGAACAGCTTGTCAATAACCGTAGTTTTAGATTACCAATCCTCCTCTAATCAGTTGCAGAGAGATGCGATGTTTCTAAACTTCTTAAAATATTTTTATAAACACTACCAATGTATTTTTAGTATTTAAATAGGTTAGGAGTAGGGAGTCAGCTGTTTGATCGGGATACTATCACCTAGATTCCTAAACTTTGAAGAGTAATTTTCACGGTAAGGCAGATTCGTGTTTTTTATTTCAACAAAAGGCAGTTTTCGCTCTTGGAGCAGTTGTTGCTGTGAAAAGACCTAAGTTACCCTTCAAAAGGTGTAACCAAGGGTATTCTATTTAGTTAGCTTATTTTTTATTTTTTATTTTTTTGTTTCGTGTTCTTCTCTTCTCTCTCCTTTTCAACCGTGAAAAACTTTTCACTTTCCCGAGAAAGAACTTGAAAGACGCAGGCGATTTCTAGGGTTTCATCGTGTCACAAGGATACTGATAACGGCGATTTGGAAGGTAGAAGAAGATCAATCGAGTTCGAACGATGTCAAGGCGACGAAGCTTGCGGCTCGCCGGAAGCGTCGACGGTAATGTAGCCGGAATTTCAATCTTCTTCATGTAGTGCGGTATTTATTAATTTTGGGGGTTCTAATATTTGCTTGTTTCTGAATCGATAGGTGGTGAGACGTCGGAGAAAGAGAATCCGGTTGGTGATTTACCGGAAAGGCTTTTCGCGAGGGATCGGTTCCCTAGCGAAAGGGTGAACACATACGTAGACATATGTACGATGTAAGCGTGTACATTTGCAGTAAACATGAATTTGATGTACATGGTTGGTTCTAAAGACGTGTACACGTGGTGTCCTGTCTACATATGTACAAGTTGTTTGACGTGATTCCCTCTTTTAGTTGTGTACATATTTACGCATTTCTCGTTGTACATGTGTACAACGAAAAGATTCATCATTTTGTTTGTTTCTCTTTATCTCTTTTCGTATCAAAGGTGACAAAAGATTCATGTTTGAAATTGGAATGTAAAAATGCAATATGATTATACACATTACATTTGAGAAGTGTAAAATCGTAACACAAAATATTCTCGTAGTCACCTAATGTACATAAGTACACCAAAGATTGTACATGTGAACATCAATAATTGTACACTACAGAAACATTATCTACAAATCCTCGTGGTCGTCTAATGTACTTGTGTATACGAACAAGTATACGAAACATGGAAACTGTTTTTTCATTTCTATTGTAGACATATACAGTACCACATTTTGTCATATAAATGTCCACGTTTTACATTGAGTGTTTGACTTAATTTTTTTTATGTGATTATTGGAATTGTAAATGATACTATTGGATGTGTACATAAGTTGTGTATGTACTTTTGTTCGTGTACACGAGTAAAGTGAACAACCTTCATACGTTTTAATGTCAAAATATATATACATGTACAATGATTTACATGTACACAAATCTTGTACAATAATCTCTAAATGCTATACATTGTTTCTCTAAATGCTATAATTTTGTACAAAAGTCACATGTACATTAGTTTTTTTATAAAATCACATTTACACTAGTTCACATGTATACTAGTTCTTTTATAAAAATTACATGTTCACATATACAATGTTTATAGAAAATCACATATACACTAGTTCTTTTGTACATCGCACAAGTTATGATTCTTATAAAAATCACATTAACACTAGAGATGTATACACGTGTACATTTTCACATGTGTAAAAAGATTATATTGTATATTTTCACCATCATCAGTCAGAGCAGATGGTTATGCATGTTAAGTACGTACAATATAAGGAGGTTTAAACCATTGATTTGAATGTTAATACGTATTCTATAACATGGATACCATTTTAGTTATAGTCTCAATTGTACACCAACAAAACATGTACACAAAACTATTGCACATCATCAGTAACGACTGATGGTCATACATGTTAAGTACGTACAATATAAGTAAGTTTAAATAATTGGTGTTAATGTATACGTTTACATCTATAACATGGACACAATTTTAGAAAACATTATCAATGAGAAATGTCTTCAGTAATATGGCTGATAGTCTCAATTGTATACCAAACAATATGTACACAGATTCGTTGTACATCATCAGTAAGTCTGTACAAAGATTTGGTGTACATCATCAGTAGAAATCACATGTATACTAGTTTTTTTGTACATCGCACAAGTAACGATTCTTATAAAAATCACATGAACACTAGATGGTACACACATGTCCATCAAAAATAAAATTATTATTATTTTATGTAGAATTTAGTTGTGTATGTTAAGTATTGTGTACAATTTAGTTGTGTTAAGATAAAATTATTCTTATAAAAATCACATGAACACCAGATGGTACACACATGTCCATCAAAGAAGAAAGTGGTGTACATAACATATGAGTGATTTCAATGATTTTTACAAATATCTACATGTACACTTAATTAATAAACATCTACATGTACACTTAGAAAGTATACATGTACACATATCTGTGTACACGTTTTTTGTGTAATATTAATTCATTAATGGTATTATCGTAATTATTACATCTTCTTCCTCAGTCTCTTAGAGTTACGAATTTTGCAGGAAAATTGGGAGTAGAGTTACAAACGTGGATTGAGGTTTTGACTCAATAGTAGTCGATAGAATAAAACCGTCACGACTCTCGTCGGGTTAATGAAGAAGAGTGATCAGAAACTGTAACTTGCCATGAGCATAATCGTAGAGAGGAGATTCAGTGTTTATTCATCCCATTCTTGTTAAAACGCAGACAATAAAGCTTGGATCTAACTCATTCCGACTGAGTCACCACCGAGTTACTCTAATAAAACTTGGATCTAACTCATTACAGCAAGTACGTTGATAGTTGCGGCATTGTATAATCAACAGTGTTAGGTTAGGGTTTTTTACTAACCTGATGATAAGAACTGCTTAATTACTTCACTTTTCCAAATCTGTAGCAAAAAAAAATACAAACGAGAAAGGTGAAGTGTATAAAAGCTGAGAATTAAAGAAGATGAATTCTTGTCTTAATTTAGAACGTTAGATGTAATTGTAAACAAGGGGATCCAATGGTTGAAATTAGACAGATATAAGTCTTGTCATCAATTAGGGAAGTAATCTCAGCCATTGAAAAAATTGCAAGATGAGCGGCTCACGATTATGGCCAAACATAAGTTAACGTAATTGGATTCGGATGTAGTTAAAGGATGTTCTGACTAAAATGACTCAGTTAAGAATAAGTGTCCTTGTATAAGAAAGTGCCTTATCTTGAAATTAAAAACACTAAACTGCCTTTGAGTGATATATTTTCAACTTTGAATGGATGGCGTCGTGTCCCACACGTAACTATTATTTGTTTTGGACGGTGAATATGAACTGCATTCTATAATACGTGTAGCCAACAATTATTAACTTTCGCATTAAACATCACACTTTTTAGATATTATTTTTCCACAGGGTCCCTCTATTGTTTAATAATTAAGTAAAAAGATATATAGTAGCAAAGAAGAGAAGGAAGAGAAGGAAGAGATAGCTTTGTCCATCGAGAAACCTCGAAGATAAAAAAAAACCGAAAAAGCGCGTCGGTGACTTGTAACTCTCAATCTCTTCTTCCTCTCTTCTCAATCTTTCACAATCTCTCTACGTTGCGCCAATTCATCAGAGCCATGTCTTACGATTACCTCTTCAAGTACATAATCATCGGTGACACAGGTGAATTAACCGCCGATCATACCTTTCTTTTGTTAGATCGATTTGGTTTTTTTTGCTAATTTTAGATTTTGGTTTAGGTGTGGGGAAATCTTGCTTGCTTTTGCAATTTACTGATAAGAGGTTCCAACCAGTACACGATCTCACCATTGGTGTTGAGTTTGGTGCTCGTATGGTCACCGTTGATGGTCGTCCTCTCAAACTCCAAATTTGGGACACCGTACGATTCTCTCTCTCTCTTTCTCTTATGTTTGGTCTAGTTAGGTTATGTGATTGAGATTATTAATTGTCGTAATCAATATGTTTATAATTGGAAAGTTAATCATTAGTTACATAACGGTTTTTTTCAGTAAGTGTATGGGTTTTTTGTGTTGTTTATGTTTGGTTTCCGTGGCTTCAGGTAGATGTGATTAAGATTTATTAATTGTCATAATCAATATGTTTTGTACGGGTTATAATTGGAAAGTTAATCATTAGGTACACAACGGTTCTTCATTGAGTGTATGGGGTTTTTTCTGTTGTTTTATGTTTGGTTTCTTTGGCTTCTTTCTCATTTTTAATTAATGGTTTGACCGAACGTGTGATGGTTGTAGGCTGGACAAGAGTCATTTAGATCCATCACTAGGTCGTATTACAGAGGAGCAGCTGGAGCTTTACTTGTTTATGACATCACCAGGTTACTACTCTCTCATCACTATATATTTCCATCTCAAAGCCTGGATCTCTTGGAAATGGTCACTTCTATGTTCATGGCTAAACTGTTAAGCTTAGAATCTCAGGAAGATCTTTGTAATTGGTAGGATATAACTGTTACTTGTGATCTGAATGTAGTTCTTTGGCGATGCTCTTTTGAGTAGAATGTTAAGCAAAACATTTGGTTTTTGAATCTTACTAAAAATAATATATTTCTCCATTTTTTGGAATTTTAAGATCATACGACGAAAACGATGGGTTTGGAGAGTTTAATCATTGAACTTTTCATGCTTTGATATTTCTGCCCTCAAAAGTATGTTATTTTGGTTTTCAGGAGAGAGACGTTTAACCATTTAGCAAGCTGGTTAGAGGATGCTCGGCAACATGCTAATCCCAACATGAGTATTATGCTGATTGGGAACAAATGCGATCTTGCTCACAAGAGAGCTGTTAGCAAAGAGGAGGGAGAGCAGTTTGCCAAAGAACATGGACTCTTGTTCTTAGAAGCTTCTGCAAGGACAGCTCAAAACGTTGAGGAGGTGATGATACTTCCTTACAATTTCTTTGTCTCAATTCCTGTTATTTCACCTGTCTGCATTACTGAAATTTTGGAGTCCGTTTTGCTGAAATTAACATGTAGCATATGCATATCTGCAGGCCTTCATAAACACTGCAGCAAAGATCCTCCAGAATATTCAGGACGGTGTCTTTGATGTGTCCAACGAGGTAACTTAACAACATCTTCTAGTGTTGTAATCTTGTGAATCACCAGACATTTCTTGTGTTACAATGAGTTGTAATCTCTTTCGATTTTGCAGTCATCGGGAATAAAGGTTGGCTACGGACGTCCTCAAGGTGCGGCTGGAGGAAACGGTGCAATCGCACAGGGAGGTGGCTGTTGTGGTTGAAGAGACCTCAAGATGTATTAATATGATTTGGTGATTCAGAAACTGCTCTTGCTTTTATTAATCTCTGCAAATGGATACACCCAGAATGTATAGGTTTTCTTTTCTCATCTTCCTTGCCAAAAAAAAAACAAACTGGTGCATTTGAGATTTGATTGAACAGCCTGATATTTATAAACCAAACAGGCGTTGGAATCTTTTAAATCAATTTGTTACTTTGTACGTAAAGACAAAGATCTCCAAGGTTAAAAAGCAAACTGAAATCAGAGTAACATCCGAATGATAATCCTATGGATGAAGTTTCTTCTTATAGCAAGTCTCCTTATTCATCTAAACGACTGATTGAAAAGCTTCCCCGATTGGTTTACAGAGGTCATAATAAGTAAATAGTTTCAGAAAATGAAGAAACACTGATCATACTTTTTCCCTCTTGGTCCATGTGCTTGCTTCAACGTCGGTTAAGAAATGTCCCTTGCTGACGCTTCAGGGTATTGAGTGTACGCGTTACTAGCATCAGTCTCGGATCATCCTCTGGTATTTCACGTTCCTGTGATGCACATACCACAAAAACCACACATAAGATCACTATTGCCAAGAAAGAGTTCAGTTTATGCACTCCTTCAAAGATTGAGAGAAAGGGGTTCTTAGAATTTTTACTTTCAAACCCTTGTAGTAAGCTTCAACAGAAGCTAGTGTCTGTGGAATATTCCGAGCTTGCATAAGATCCCATGTCATATTGGCAACCGTGTACCCTCCGGTCTGCCAAAAGAGAACAGAGATTTTTACTATCACTGACTTTTTACAGCGAAAAAGTAGTGTATTTTTTTGCAAGAGTTTTACCTTTTCACCAGCAGCTTTGAGTAGCAGATTGCTTCCAGTTCTTGCATCTAAGAAGAAATTTCGATCGTTCATGCTGACCTGCATTTATAAATTAATTGTCGTCAGTTCTACAGGCAAAGACTCTTATCATAGGCCAGCGGCCACAAACTCAGCGCATTTATCTCATTGATTCTTCTATCCGAGCCTATAAAGTTTACCAGAGTGTCTTGAGCAATCTTCATTCCTTCCTCTGTGTAATCTGTCATGGCTCCCTCTATAAGAGTCTGTAGAAGCGAGCAACAACAAATAAATTGTATAATTGTCACCCAAAATATGCTGAACGCAAAACAAGAGAGAAAAGAGTAATAGTCTTTGGACTCGTTGTGGATATGTATACATCTTCGTAGTCATTTGTTGGGAATAAGATTATAATAAGGATACAATTGTTTTATCAAAGTTGTCATTCCCGTACTAGAAACGAACAAATTTCCTCTTCATATAAAATTTGAAACACTAATGATGAGGTCAGATGATAGTTACCGTGTAGAGTTCCATGGCAGGGGTTTTGTCTGAGTTCATGTAATCTTCAAACCATTTAAGACCATTTTTAAAGTCTTTCGAGTGTAGGTAGCACCTGTGTAGATACCGTATAAAAAATTATGCTGATAGTATTTGCGCGCTTTGATTCCCAAAGATTTAATATACTAGTAACAAAAACTTAAACTGGTAACTAAACCTATGATAATGCCAAATGCTTTAACATTTAACTGCATACTACATAATCGCATATGTAGGCCAGTTGATTTTGTGGGCATAACTACCAGCACAGAAACGTGAAGTCTAATATAGTCAGTCAAAGAATCATACTGCATGCTCTACTATCTGTACCTCATAATCTGTATCACGCAGTAAGTATCCGTATTTTTTCCGTCTTTCTTAAGCATCTCAAGAAGAGCTTCCGTTGCCTGCCAATGAGAGTTACGTGGTCAGATGCAAAATCAACTCCGAAACTGGCTTTTGTTACTCCCACAACAGAACGTTCCCTCAAATTAAGGACATTTTGGAATAAACACAAATCATCTTACTTGTACATCCTTCATATCAGCGAGCGCACTGAATGCCACGTGGTACACGGTCAAATTCCTCTGCAGAAACCTGCTCCTGTGGGAATATTCAGCGGTCGGAACATTGTACAGCTCTTCTTCACTGATGTTAAACATCATATCTTCTGCACTCTTCCTTGATGAATCAACTGATGACCAGCCTTTTGACTGCTCCACCAACTCGAGAATCTTTTGAGAAAAAAGGGAGGATATGAGAACCTATTTTAACAGAAAAAACTCAAATAGGAAACCTTCACAGTTTACCTTGGTGGAAAGATTTTCTGGTCTCGGCTCCTTGTTTAGATGAGCAGTTATGAGTCCTGCATAGCAGAACTGGTTCAAACCAACACCAGCAGCAGTCATATCTCTAACTATCGCATACCTAACCATTATTCCACAGAAAGGTTAGATCACTTCTTATACCGCATATAACATACTTATAACAGAGAAAAGAGCATAAGAACTTTTTCAAAGAAAATCAAATCAGTTTATTAGCCGTAGACAAACTATAGAAGCAGTAACCTACACAAGATCCAAATGGCCAGAAACAGCGCAGGCATTGAGCAGGCAAACAAAAGTCTGTCCATTTGGTTTTACATCATATCTCTTCATCTCATCAAAGACCTTACAAAAAGAAACAAACCAAAAGGTTGGTGTATGAACGAAGATTAACGAATATACAAAAGCAACGGGGAAGATAAACATACTCGGATCGCCTCCTTTCCATTCTTGCATTTACCACAAGTGGAAATCAAAAAGTTGTACAAGTTCACCTACAAAAAAAGAACGCTCAGTGAACAAACTCATTCTATAAAACTAAAATTTTGGAGAATGAATCACTCAATCTGCTGCTACTAGACTCTCAAGAACCGAGACAATCCAACCAGAGAAAGTTATATACTTTTATTTTTTATGTAAGAGGAAAGATGAGAGGACATACATCTGGAGCAATTCCCATGGACTTCATTTCTTCACGAAAAAAGAAAGCATCACTTAAACGAGCGCCCTTCATCACTCCCACAACAAATGAATGGAATATATCAGCTGTAGGCTGCACACCATCTAGCTTCATATCATCATACACATCCCTCAACAGATAGTGCCTACACAAACATTAACAAGTATTAATCAAGCAACTCAAGTAACCATTATCTAAGAGCCATGGATACAAACCTGCGCTGAGCTGTGACGGAGTTGACAACTGAGTTGTACTCCAACAGATCGTTGGCGTAATTTTTCTTTGCTAGTTCCTCCGGAGACGACGAAGAAGCGAAGAAACGCCGGCTAACAAGAGCTCGAACCAGAGATCGATTCCTCCCTGTCAAAGATACTTAGATGCGTTACTAATACAATGAAGCCTGCGTATTCGTTCGAACACACACAACGAAGAGAGATCGAGTAATCGAGAAAATGAAAATGTGATCTATCGATAATGTATAGAGGAGCGTACCAGCAATGGATTGAATGAGAAACTTCATAGCTCTGGGCGAATCGCTGACGACGAGAGAGAGGAGAGTTTGTATAATCGAGTTCCGCCGTCGGAGAAGAGGATATAGCAGCTCAGGGCCTCAGGGTTTAGCTGGTTAACAATAACCGGAGAATAAAATCAGATTATCGAACCGGGTAGCAACCGGTTCTAGTTTAACGGATCGCGCATTCTAAAGCCTGAGATTATATCAACGCGGGAGTTTTATGGGCCCTTAATGGGTAGTTGGAATTAATTTGTGGACCGATTGGTGATGATGACGTGGCTGTTTGTGATCATATCATCAAACTGCTGCGATTCTGTCACGAAGAAGAAAGTGATATTTACAGTAAGGCCAAGGGGACCTTCCCAACTATAAAAATTTTAATCTGTCGGAAGATCACGTGAATACAACTAATATGTTCTTGCGATAAGTGAGAATTATTGACCAAGAAAAATGTAACCAAAGCTCGTTGAGAACTGAAACAACTTGGTTTGATAAACGAATTTCAAACATTTAATTCATAAGTACCGTACAAATGTTAGAAATAACTTTTGTTGTAACGACTTTATTTTAAACGACATAGATTTTTGTAATGACTTGAGAGGTGCTAGTTTACTCCCTGTGATTTTAGAAAGATGTGGTTCATGTTTAGAAGCTAATCAATTAACTATATTAAAGTCCTAGATATATACAACGTTAAAAATAAATGATTATTTGTAGGAAAAAAGGAAACTTTTAATATCATCCTAGAAAACACACAGGCTATTGTGGTCTTGGATCATTTGGATTTAAACCTTATACTAATAAATCTTCAAGAATCATGAAGAACATGTAAGGGAAAAAAACAACAACCATAGCTTTATATAAACATCCTCCTACAATTCTCTCCCTGCTGGTATAACAGTGATTTTTTTTACATTTATAGCTTTTTTATTTTCTATTTACAAATAAGACTTTTTTGAGAAAAAATTACAATAGGACTTTCATTGATTTTCTTATGTAATGTAGTGTTAAACAACATTAACCATATACAGTCCAGTTACTAATCAACATAAACTATATATCCAGTTACAAGTTATGTTGACAAAGAAAGGTCTCACGTAATGAGCGCGTTAGCTAAAACTGACATTGTAATTAATTACGTGTTTGGTGAGTAATAATCACGCTTGCTTAAATGTTAGGGCTAAATAACAAACCAAATCTTTTTTTTTTTGTTCAACACAAACCAAATCAAAACAAGATATTATCTCAGGGAGGCCCACGAGCCAACAGATTCACACATAGAATTCAATGTATTTCCTTCACGTCATAACTTGAGAATATTGCGAAAACATCAACCACTTCAAAGAGTTTGGTGAGACCAACACACAATCTATTAAATGGATTTGGTTGAGTTTTCTGCCTTTCAAGATCAACAAAGTTCCAAAACTTCTTTTTTTCTTTGTACATACTAAACCACAAGATTACGACCATACATATAACAAAAGAAAGGTCAGAGAACTAAAGAGAGATGGAGACTGTGCAAATGGTAAGAAAGGGAGAGATTAGAGATCACGTCTACACATAGGACATGATCCGTGTCTGAGTAGCCAATTGTCTATGCAAGGCAAGTGAAACATGTGATGACATTGTGGCAAGCTTCTTACCGTCTCACCAATCTGAAAATCCTGCATAATTCACACACAAGAACACAAAGACATTTAAACCTTTTTGTGTTCTGAATTTTAGAGTTGTTCATAAAGAGCTGAAAGTACCTGAAGACAAACAGAACAAGAGTCGTTGCTTTTGCCAGTGATTTTGATTTTGGGTATTTTATCAACCATATCTCTTGTTAATCCTTTTGAGCCACCAGTGTCAAAGATACTCGAGAGCTCATCGAAAGTTGCATCCACAGCTCCCATCTGATACATATGAAATAACATCAAGAAAACGGAGAGATTGATCTCATTGCGGAAATGCAACCAATAATCTATATATCAAATGTACCTGACTTTGAACAGCGCTTAACATAGCTGGACCTATGCGTTCCCGTACAAGTCTACCACTTATAAGACTAACAATGACATCAATCTACAACCAAAACATTAAGAAAAGAATCAATATCTGAAAACAGAGCAAAGAAGTTGTTTCGAGAAGCTAAAGAAAGAATCTCAGCTCTTACCAAGTAGAGGAGGCAACCGAAACGTGACTCATTAGATTTCCAGAGAACAAGAGATGACTCAAAGACTTCAATCGAAAAAACAGCTCCTGAGATGGCTCCAACCGCAGCTCCTCGGATGAAACCACTCTCTGTTTCTTGGCCTATTAAAGCTCCTGTGACTGCTCCAAGCAATGTTCCCACTGAAAAAAATAAGATCAAAAGGAAACAACTTTATCAGCTTTACATAAACCCCAAGTCGCAGATCATCTATCTCTGACTTTATATGATCAAATCAATCCACACAGAGACTAAATTTGGATACAAAGAGTGAAATAACAAGTTTGAAATGTGCATAGAAGACGAGAGAGGCAGACCTAGAGCGAAGAAGAAGGTCAAGATCGCAGAGAGAATTGTGCCAAGAACAGCGGATACGAGGAAACGACATGCGTCTTTAATCCGTTCAACGAAGTTACCAATATAAGGACACGGAGAGAGAGGATAAAAACCAGATTGGGATCTAGAAGAGGAAGAAGAAGATGCCATTTTTGTGTCAAACCGATCTCTGAGAAAGAAAGAAAAAACAGAACAGAGGAGCTTATTCAAGAGAGAAGGGGTTTATTATTATTGCTTAGCTCTTAAGAGAGAAGATACGATGACTGGCCTACTTGCAATTAAAGCTTTTGGTTCGAGATATTTTTTTACCTCAAGTAGGTGAAGTAAATTCTAGACTTTCCCAGCCATGATCAATGCATGTTTAATAAAAAATCAAAAATCTCTCCCTTTCGAAACACGAGATGAAAGTGAGAGAGAGAAAGATAAGCGCGCAAGCTCAGAGAAAAATATTATATTTTTTTCTATGAAAAAAGTAATATATATTTTAAATTCTGACATACATTTCTCTTTGTAATACTATTAAAAAAAATATTTTAATTAGAAAGGAGACCCTTTTTGTTTAATTATAGAAAAGAGACCTTGTGACATGACATGTTTTCAAATTACTTGCTTAGTTTATAACAAATCAAATTATTTACGTACATATTTTTTTTTTTTTTTTTTTGATAACTTAGGTGTCCGGGACTTATTTAGAGACCCGACTATCCCCGAAAGGATTCTGAAGACCAAACAGAAACCATGTTAAATCTGCTGTAGCCGGGGCTCGAACTCGTGATGACGGACACCTCAGCCGAGGTTCCTTTATCACCAAACCACGAGGTCCGGTTATTACGTACATATTTTAGATGCGATAAAAGTTTGTTTGACATCATACTGGTTGCCTTTGATCTTTGGGCACCTGATAACATAATACAAGATACATATATATTGTATTATATGGAGCGCTGGACCCCTTCGAGGGATAATTGAGAATGTGACTACCTAAATATCAGAGTTATAAAAAAAAAAAAAATATATATATATATATATATATATATATATATATATTATATTATCAGATTATTGTGGTTGTCATTTATTCACGGATTAGGACAACAATTTTTTTTTTTTTTTTTTTTGTAAACGACAACAATTACTCGTTAGTTATAACTCACTTTCAATTACATGCGAAAGTAATGCTGTTTTAGAGAAACTTATTTGATTATACCTTTTTTTTTTTTTTTTTTTTTCTTTTAAAGGAAGTTTCATTGATCCATTCTATGAACAATAGTTTATTGTTATACTAAAAAAAATATGGGTCCAATAAGATTTGTTTTTGTACGTGCGATCTAGAAGCTACCTTGGTATACGATCGCAGATTCTATATTACTGCATGTTATAACACATATTAAAAAACACATACGTGGCCGCATTGTACCAAAAAAAAACATACGTGTTTGCATCTTCAAGGAAATTAAAATACTTTTCCCTTACTGTATTCCAAAAACCTTGCATTTCTATATCCACTTCTGCACCTGGATTTATCATGGTCTATCATATCAATCCTTTTTTTTTTACTAAATATCAATCCATTTACTTGTTAGACAGTTTGTAGGTTTCCCTTGCAAATCACCACATTTATTTGGTTATATTGTTTTTCATTTGTATGAAAATCATTTTTATACATATATATTAGTAAGCTCAACAAAATTATGTCTAGTCCAACTACGTTTGGATATAGATTTGCTTAGAAGGCTTTCGACAAATTTTATTTTTGAGTCCCTTGGTAGTGTAGATGCATGTTTAAATAATTTGTTCACGTATACAATGCTCTTAAAATCGGTAGTAATATATTAATAACCGATCTGAAAGTTGAAACAATGATGTTGGTATAAGTTACAAAAAAAAAACAATGATGTTGGTATGTGGCATTGTTTTGATATATGAACTTTATTATTGGACCTACTCAAAATGGTTGTATAACAATCTTGAATACCCAAATTTAGGTTAAATTTTTGAAGTTGCAAGAAAATATTGTTCAAAATTATTGAGTTTTTCTGTCAGACTATGGACATAAATGATAAAATTGTCTTTATTTTTTTTACTAAATAAACCGACTCAAAATGGTTGACAAAAAAAAAGAATACCCAAAATTAGGTCAAGTTTTTTAAGTTGCTCAAAAAATATTTCAAACTTATTGAATTTCTCTGTCAGGATATGGGCACAAATGATAAAATTGTCTCTATTCTTGACTAAAGAAGTTATAGCAACCGACTCCAGTTTTTAAGTTCTTTTTTCAAGACGTCCTATAAATACATACTCTGTCGTTTCCAATAGTTGACGAAAAAATCTACAAAAAAATATCTTCCCCGATGATATTAAATTCAACATTTTTTTTCAGAAGCTGGTCCTATGAGTATTGCAGTGATTAAATTCAAATCTAAGCATATGCACACTGGCGGAGGGAGAAATGATTAGAGGTCAAACTGATAATACAAGTGTTTTACAAGGGTCATTAAGCAAACTTCATCATATGTTTCTATATAAAAATACATGCAATTTTTTTCTTTTTCAAAAATTCGCATGGGTCATCTGACCCACATTATCATATATGCTAGTTGCCTAGTTCCACCTCTGCATATGCATGATACATGGTTGCGTTTCTTTGCGTGTCGTGTACATGTATTTTAATATTGAGAGAGTGGGGTTATAAACTTATAGTGTCAATGTGTCATGAAATTGGCCGATTTAATACGCCAATATATCTTTTATCGTATCACTAATACTTAAGTCAAATCCGAAAATAACTAAAATCCGGTGTGTTCGTGATTTTTTTTTTGAGATTTACCATGACTTTATAGCACTTATACAAAGTTTTTTATCAACCGATAGAAATGTGAAAGTAACAGATAAGTTTGACCTATAAAGCTATAATACCAATGAAGAAAAAAGCCAACTAAAATAAAGAAGAGATAAATATGATTGGTAGGTTATCTACATGGTGACCCACGTCACGTTTTACCGGTGCTATCTTTGTATCGACGTGATCAATAATTTTAACCCAGCCGCTACTTGCATATCTACTCCTTAAAGTATTTGTATGCAATCATCGCCAAGTCAAAACTCCATGAATCTAAAAATATTTACATATGAGCTTGTTCATATTAATTAAACAATCGAGATGAAGACTGAAAGAAGGTACACACCACTGTATAGAGAAGATGTAATCAGATGAGTCTGGTTAAATAAAAAAAAAACTAATAACTTAGGCAAATACACAGAAGTGCTTCAGATTATGGACTTAAAAACTAGTGAGAGATATTTAAAATGCAGATGAACTGAACACTGATAGCTGAAGAGTAATTCTTATTGATGAAATATGTTCTGTAATAGATTACTAAGAACACATTACATATACTATTTAATCATGGCCTAAGCAAGGAGGGCTAAACCAGCTCAGCCCTCAGCTGTAGATCGAGTAGGTTTTTTATTTTACTAAGCCCAAGTGATCTGCCAATCTGTTTTCCTGTAATCACAGAGATGGATTTGGCCCAAATTTACTAAAGCATAATGTTTATATTTTAAGTTTATTTTTTATTTTTTTATTTTTTTGTTTCTTTCTTAGCACACGATTCAAGTCAGAACGTCGGAAGAATTATCTTTTTGAGGAAATAAAAGTGGAGGATAATAACACAGAAAAATCAAATTAAAATCAATTTTATTAAAACAGAATCATTGCTAATATTTACCCCTACAACTCCCTGGAATATTACTTCTCCATGCCACTGGCCCTACTTTATAATAAAAAAACTGCAACTATTATATATATGTACATCAGTTACGTACTTAGCAAAAAATATATCAGTTACTAACTTTCAGTCTCTTTATTATAACCTCTCATATATTCTTGGGAACCACTACTCTAATTGCTAGACACAATTCACGTATGCATATTGTAATATTTATATGACCCTGAACTGTTAGACTAAAATACAAGTATATAACTACATCTAATTTATCATAATATTCATAATAACACTATCGACATTTTCATTTTTTAGCAGGGTTGTTTTCTAAAGAACAAAAATCAATATTTTGTTATAAGCAATATAGCATAAACAGAAAATAAGAAAACATTTTTTTTTACATTTCCTCCTTCAGCTTACCATGTCTTTTAATAAAGTTTCTAAAATTGCTTTTACTAATCAAAAGATATAACTTTATATAAATACAATAGAAAAAAAATAATCAAATTAATTCAATTATGTATTTTTTTATTGAAAGGTCTATACTATTAAATTAAATTAATATTAAACACAAGTCTATATAAAAAAAAAACTTAAATATAAAAGTTAAACTTCTAAAAAAAAATTAAATAAAAAATATACCTGCCCTTGGAAAGGGCGGGTGAGAATCTAGTAAATACTTATAAATCACTTGATCCAAAAAAAAAAAGAAATGAATATTCACAAAAAAAAAAAGCAAAAAAATTCAAGTAGCCACACTTGTGAAGAGAAGAGCCCACACCGATCTTTCATATAAAAGAGCCTTACGAGTTACACTCATCGCCTCACCAACTCCACTAACGTCTCTACTGAACACAGATCCATGGGTAACGATTTAATCTGCTTTCTCCATTTTTGTTTATGATCCAACTACTTGTTTCTCCTCCTCGATACTGATATGCTTCGATCTCTCGTTTCAGCTTCGGAGAATCCATTCCGCACCATATTGAAGACTCTAGAGAATCCTAACGGTGGCGGCGAGTTCGGGAGCTACTACAGCTTACCTGCTCTCAACGATCCGAGGATCGGTGAGTTTTTGCTTCTATTTTGATACTTCGTGATTCATCTGTTGATCGAGAGAAATGCTTATTGTTGTTGTGTAACGGATGCAGATAAACTGCCATATTCCATTAGGATACTTTTAGAATCAGCGATACGTAACTGTGATGAGTTTCAAGTTAAGAGCAAAGATGTTGAGAAGATTCTTGATTGGGAGAATACTTCTCCCAAACAAGTTGAGATTCCCTTCAAACCTGCTCGCGTGCTTCTTCAGGTAAACCGCAGCTTTAAGAGATGAACTAATCTTTTATGCGATAATGATTTCCTGATAATTCTGTTTAATTTTCAGGACTTTACTGGTGTCCCTGCAGTTGTTGATCTTGCTTGCATGAGAGATGCCATGAATAGTCTCGGTGGTGATTCTAATAAGATCAATCCCCTGGTTAGTTGATTGAGATTGGTTGAAATAGTGTCGGTTTTTTGTATGCTCCAGGATTTGATTCATACTTTTTGATACATACAGGTCCCTGTAGATCTTGTGATTGATCACTCGGTTCAAGTGGATGTGGCGAGATCTGAGAACGCTGTGCAGGCTAATATGGAGCTTGAGTTCCAGCGTAACAAGGAACGATTCGCTTTTCTTAAGTGGGGTTCAAATGCTTTTGACAACATGCTTGTTGTACCTCCTGGATCTGGGATTGTTCATCAGGTGAGTATTAAGGGTTCAGATACAACTGTATTAGTCTTTTTGATGCTTAGATTTATTATTTTGCTATTGACAGGTCAACCTTGAGTACCTTGCGAGAGTTGTGTTCAACAGAAATGGACTTCTTTACCCAGACAGTGTTGTTGGGACAGACTCTCACACCACTATGATTGATGGACTGGGTGTTGCTGGATGGGGAGTCGGTGGTATAGAAGCGGAAGCTACCATGCTTGGTCAGGTAAATTATATGCTCTTTTGAGTCGAGGACTAAGAACTAACTGTCTGAACTTTTTCTGAAACTTTGGCTAGGGATGATTCTTTGGCAGTTCCAAAATTTTTTAACACTTTGTTGAAGTTTCTTATTATAAACTGTAACATGAATTTATCTCCTTTTATGCAGCCAATGAGCATGGTCCTGCCTGGTGTTGTGGGTTTCAAGCTAACTGGAAAACTAAGAGATGGAATGACGGCTACTGATCTGGTCTTAACAGTCACTCAGATGCTGAGGAAACATGGAGTAGTTGGAAAATTTGTTGAATTCTACGGTACATTCATGAAAAGAATTGTTTATTTGATATTTGTCATTTCCATACCTATCCAATACTTGACTGAGGTAAGCTAATTCGTATATGCATCCGTTGTTTTATACTACAACAGGGGAAGGGATGAGAGAATTATCTTTAGCTGATCGTGCTACAATTGCTAATATGTCTCCTGAATACGGTGCAACCATGGGATTCTTCCCCGTTGATCATGTCACATTGCAGTATCTCAAATTGACAGGCAGGAGTGATGACACTGTAAGGGGTTGCAAGGGGAACCTACATAATCTATTGTGCTGTTGCGTTTCATCAGGTTATTTATGTGGAAATTAAATTTCAGGTTTCTATGATAGAGGCGTATTTACGAGCAAACAAGATGTTTGTGGACTACAGTGAGGTATACATCTTGCGCATTCCTGATGATTCATTTATTATGTCTATATTAATCTATCATAGAGCATAACATGTTTTCCACTTGGGAACTTGTTACTCATCTCAGCCGGAGAGTAAGACAGTATACTCTTCAAATCTGGAATTGAATCTCGAGGATGTTGAGCCCTGTGTTTCTGGTCCCAAGAGGTACTACTAGCGAATCTATTCGATATAAGTTTTCTAGGATCTATTCTACTTATAACATTTATACTCTATGCACAATACAGGCCACATGATCGCGTTCCTTTGAAGGAAATGAAAGCAGACTGGCATTCTTGCTTAGATAACAGAGTAGGATTCAAGGTAAGAACTCTCCTCTCTGTTCAGAAGAAATTCCTAATGTGAATACTTGTCTGAGTCCAACAGACAACTGTGTCCTGCAACTCTCCTGGTTTTATAATTTAGTCCCACTGTACAAAGTTGTGGCTAGTGATTCTACTTATCAATGATATTTTCAGGGATTTGCTGTACCAAAAGAAGCACAGAGTAAGGTTGCAGAGTTCAACTTTAACGGGACCCCAGCACAGCTTAGACATGGAGATGTTGTTATAGCGGCAATCACCAGTTGCACAAATACCTCAAACCCTAGTGTTATGCTTGGCGCTGCCTTGGTTGCACAAAAGGCCTGTGAACTGGGACTGGAGGTTTGACTACTGTACCTTTCTGGCCGTCTCTTTTGTGTAATCATGTTTTAATAGCTTTCTTTCAATGTACGTAATGAAAGTGTTCTTGAACTTCTCCCTTGCTAGGTTAAGCCATGGATTAAAACTAGTCTTGCTCCTGGCTCTGGAGTTGTAACAAAATACTTGGCAAAGAGGTAATGCAGATACACGACTGAATGTTTTATTATATATTTCCTTGTATCATGTGGTCTTGAGTTTCGAGTCTTACAGTGGCTTGCAGAAGTACTTGAATCAGCTGGGATTCAGTATAGTTGGTTATGGTTGCACCACATGCATCGGAAACTCAGGAGATATCCATGAAGCTGTGGCTTCAGCAATAGTTGATAATGGTAAATCTTCAAGTAATTAATTATGAAATGCTTATTCACTTGAATTTCGAAGGTTAAACTAATATGTTTTTTATATTGTATATGTACAAGACTTGGTGGCATCCGCTGTGTTGTCCGGGAACAGAAACTTTGAGGGACGTGTTCATCCGTTAACAAGAGCTAACTACCTTGCTTCCCCTCCCCTTGTTGTAGCCTATGCACTGGCTGGCACTGTATGTTAATGTTAACTCTAAAACCATTACACAACAATCAAGCATTCTTGATATGCTATATGAAAACCATGAATGGCTTTGTAGGTTGACATTGATTTCGAGACAGAGCCCATTGGTACTGGTAAAGACGGCAAACAAATATTTTTCAGGGACATCTGGCCCTCTAACAAAGAAGTTGCCGAGGTAAATATATTGCAGGCTGCTCGTGCAATACATAAACAATAAGAGGATTATAATTAGAAGGGATGTCAAATTCTCTTTTTCGTATTTTTTCTTTCAGGTTGTGCAAGCTAGTGTCCTTCCTGACATGTTCAAAGCCACATATGAAGCAATCACCAAAGGGAACTCCATGTGGAACGAGTTATCTGTCGCGTCAGGCACACTCTACGAGTGGGATCCGAAATCAACTTACATTCACGAGCCTCCTTATTTCAAGGGCATGACCATGTCTCCACCAGGTCCACATGGTGTGAAAGACGCTTACTGTTTGCTCAATTTCGGAGACAGTATTACCACTGATCACATCTCACCAGCTGGTAGCATCCACAAGGACAGTCCCGCGGCTAAGTACTTGATGGAACGTGGTGTGGATAGGCGAGACTTCAACTCTTACGGGAGTCGCCGTGATAATGATGAGATTATGGCGAGAGGCACTTTCGCTAATATCCGCATTGTCAACAAACACTTGAAAGGAGAAGTTGGTCCCAAGACAGTTCACATTCCCAGTGGAGAGAAGCTTTCGGTCTTCGATGCTGCCATGGTATAATATCACACTTCCTTGTTCCTCTCTCTTTGATCGCAGTTACTGGACTTGATGATTCACATAAGATTCTCTTTTTGTGTTGTGCCAGAAATACAGGAACGAGGGACGTGACACAATAATTTTGGCTGGAGCTGAATATGGAAGTGGAAGTTCTCGTGATTGGGCTGCTAAGGGTCCAATGCTTCTGGTATCTACATTCTTCTTCTTCTTTTTTTCCATCAATAACAATCACATTTTTATGCGGTGTTTCTTGAATATTTTGACGACAGGGGGTCAAGGCTGTGATCTCAAAGAGCTTTGAGAGAATTCACAGAAGCAATCTGGTGGGAATGGGAATCATACCTTTGTGCTACAAGACAGGAGAAGATGCTGAGACTCTAGGCCTAACGGGCGAGGAGCTTTACACCATTGAGCTCCCAAACAATGTTAGTGAGATCAAACCAGGACAAGATGTAACGGTTCTCACAAACAATGGCAAATCCTTCACATGTACACTCCGATTCGACACAGAGGTAAACCAAGTTGTTCTATTCTCCTCGCTTTTAAAAGCAGAGTGGTACTAAGTATTTAAGATACCTTATCGGAATGGCAGGTGGAGTTGGCTTATTTCAACCACGGAGGGATATTGCAATACGTGATCAGGAACCTGATCAAACTATAAGAAAACTGTTAAGCCCCAGCAGAGATAACTTTCTGTACCCAAAAGGTTTGTTGCAATAATAATGTTATCATGAAGGAGGAGGATGAGAGTTGCGTTTAATTTAAAACTTTGCTTTCTTTTCTCTTTGGTTTGCTTCTTCCTAGTCAGCTGGAACCATTTTCACTGTTTGTTTGTTTGCTTCTTTCAATTGGAACCGGGTAAGACGACGCATTAATAAGATTATAAATCATGTTTTCATAGTGAAAAAGAAAACTGGAAAATCATTATATTTTTCATAAATAAGGAAAAGATGACTGGTTTCTTGTTTCTTTTCAACTGAGAAAGCGGTTAACTCCTTTGAGGTAGCATGTTTGAGATCATGAAAAGCTGCAAATGGAGACGGAACATTAAATACAATCCAAATGGATTCATCAACAAAAGTGAAGTCAAGAGAGCTTACCTCTAAAAAAAAAGCTTTATGGCATGTGTATTATTGTTGGAGCTTTGAACTCCTGAGAGTGAAACCATTTAGTTGATGCCCACTTGTTTCCTTTGATTACTGGACGACCACCTGAATACAATCAATCAAAGGTACACCTCATCAAACTACTCTAAGTCAAAAAGGGTAAAATAAAACTATGAAATAAGAAAAGGCAATGTGCTAATTGTCTCTCACAATGCAAACTCGAAGGGTCTTGAGAACCGTCAGGCCTCTTGTTCCAGAAGAGTAGAGCGTCTCCCTTCTTTGGCGAAACAGATAGTCCACTGGACTTAGGGAAGTCTGTTTCGCCTCCTTCCTCAACGTCCGACCTAATTATCATTAATTACAAAAATTAAGATTGATAATGCATTCTCTTGTGGCATGAGACACAGATTATATTTAAAAAGGGGTTGCATGCATGCATGGTTTAACATACATGTACATAAGGAAAGTAGCAATTCTTCCCAATCCATCAAAGTGGGGGTCAAATTTCTGCCCAACTTCATAATGGATAACTTGAAGATTTTCTCCATTTTCTGCATTTACACCATCACAACTTTAACTATTACCAAAGACAATGTAGTACGTAAGAGCTAGTAACAACAGTATATCCTTAGAAAGAACCACCCACACACCTACAGGAAGAAAGGTGAATTCTGAAATCCTTTTTTCAATCTCTTCCACGATCTTGTCATGTCCTCTTCTTATAGCACTGGAAGTGCTCGTCCTCACGCTGCATGCACATTAATAGGTCACTTCCAAATCTCAAAATCTTGACGAGGAGTGAGAGTAACAAAACAAAAAGAATTTGAGTACAGAACCTGCTTTCTATTCCCCCTCCGTTTTTTGAATCACGCACCCGCGACCTTGTCATATAAGGTTTAACGAGGCTAATCAAGTGCTCACATTCTTCACTTTTCTTTACATAAAAGAATTTATAGAAAACGGAGCATAAGATCAATGAGCCCTAAATCTTCCAAGTGCTTATAAATCATCTAAAGCACAAACCCTAGACAAGTCCTAGTTTCTTTAACTCGTCTGAAAAGCTATATATATGAACCAGCAAAGTCTCATCTACCAGCTGATAAAAAAAAAACGGAAGGAATTACCAAGAAATTGTGGTAAAGGAAAGCTCTAGGTTTCACTGAGATTACTTCAGGCCAACGCTCATGAGGGAAGCGCAACGAAGCATCAACCTTCTCAATGTTACACGTAAGTGCTGTCAACAGAGGGGGAAGAGAACACAACAAGATTGATAACTTATTTAAGTCAACAATTTTCACGTTCACTGAATCACCCATTGTTTCTTTGAACGTCTTGATGTGCTGCATAAGGTCTGAAACTTCATATATCTTTAGTTTGCGCAACCTCTGCCTCAGATACTGTGAGGTAGTAGACGGTGAAGTCGACGTAGCCATAGTGAATTCGCAAAGAGTATCGAAACAAGGTCTGAACTCCGGAAGTTGAGTGCTATTTTATATATATATATAGAAAACAATTGAGGCTATTGATTATCCCGGGGTTTGCTTCTTCTTTTTTAAGTTAATTTTGTGAGTGAATAATAACAAAAAGAGAGGATAGCTACACAACTGGATATATCTATTTGTATAATAATCGAAAACAATATTTAAAATTTATAGATAAGACGGCATTTTTAATAATTAAAATCGAGTTAAGAAAGAAAATATTTCATAAGGTAACAACACCAACTACATAGGTAAGTTTTACTTAATTTTTTTTTTGTCGTAAAGTTTTACATAATTAAAGACCAGAATGTGGTTTTGCTAGTGCAGAGTTTTGAGAGCTTTTGAGAGAAGTATCAGGAGGAGATTGACAATGATACACACACTAGTACATGCTGTTGGTGAGATAAGATCATGGAAACCTGCAAAAGAGTACAGAAAGAATTAAAAAATCTGAGACAATGCAAAGGATCCATTGCTAAAGTGAGGTTAAGAGTTTACCTATTTTTTTACTCAATTCTTGTACTCATGAACGTGTAGCCATTTAGTTGATGACCACTTGTTTACTTTAATCACTGGACAGCCTCCTGAATCAAAAAAAAGAAGAAGATTTGGTGGAGTTGGCTTATTTCAATCACGGAGGGATATTGCAATACGTGATCAGGAACCTGATCAAACAATAAGAACACTGGTAAGCCCCCTGTTAGGTATGAGGCATTACGTCCACCTATACTTTATGAGTACAAGAGGAGGAAGAAAGTGAGTCAGCAGAAGGCAGAGAATGGTAGTGCTGACGTGGAGGAAAGGACTACGTAAGAGTATTACTAAGGAGGGAATAAAAGAATAAGGGACATTCAGGTGGTGAGCTGGCTACCTATCCTAACGTCCCACGTGATATGTTTATTCCTTTTGCAGTCATGTATTTAGGATGAGCGTAGGAAGAGAGAGAGGGTATCAAGTTATTTGATCAGAGTTGTAAGGGGGAGGTGAGAGACTCCATTTATTAATTCTCTCAAGCTTGTAATTCCGTTTATGATCAATATAATTCTCTTTTTCATCTAATCCATAACAAATTGGTATCAGAGCCTATCTTTGCTGGGAGAAATCATGGCACCTAAGAAGTCTGACGCTGACGTTGCGATGGAGAACATGAAGGAAGAAGTTGGGAAGATCGGTGGTTTGGAGCGTACGGTGGAGGATCTCAGGGCGAGTGTGACGGAGATCCGAAGTCGTATGGGAGTCCTTGATCGTTTGGAGCAGAAGTTAAACGACGACGAGGAGGTTCGGAAGAAGGAGGTAGCGGCGTTGTTCCAGGCGTCGTTACAAAGTCACATGGAGGACGAGTGTTTCGTACCGGGACAGCGTCCAGGGAAGCAGATCGAGGAGGAGAGGAGTGATCTCTTCCGCGCTGGGACGTCCGAGAGACAATCGGAGACGGTGACAAGGATCGGAGGGGCCAGACGTGAAGGTGTGGTGGAGCGGGGAGACCGATCAACGAGCCCTCGTGAGAGGCGTTCATCGGATGAAAAGAACGAAGACATGACGCGTAAGTTGAAGATTCCGTTGTTCGACGGAGAGAATCCGGAGAGCTGGGTGTTACGTGTGGAACAGTTCTTCGAGATGGGGGAGTTCTCGGAGGATAGAAAGTTGAAGGTGGTTGGAACGTGTTTTGACGATGAGGCGTTGATGTGGTACCGATGGGAGCGTGATCGGGATCCTTTCGTGAGTTGGGAGCAGATGAAGTACCGGGTGTTAGAACAGTTTTCGACGACTCATGACATCACGGCGAGGGAGCGACTCATGACGTTGAAACAGGAGGGAACGGTGAGGGAGTATATCAAGGATTTCATCTCGCTCGCCTCTAATGCACCGGAGCTCTCAGATACGGTGTTGGAGACAGCGTTCATGATCGGACTTAAACCTCAGATCAAGGCGGGAGTGAAATTAATGGAACCTAGGAACCTCCGGAAGATGATGACGGTGGCGAAAGATGGTTGAGGAGTGGGCCGGATTTACGGATCCGGTGACGGAAAATCATGGTGGAAGGGCGAGTCGCGGAGGTGGGCACTATTCTGGGTCTACATCGTTGTCGGGCCGTAATGGAGGGGGCTGGAGAAATGGGCCTGGGGTTAATAATCAACAAAAGCCCAAGACGGATCCAGCCCAAGATAAGGGGACAGGGGCCCAAAGGCGAACGACGAACCCTAATACTCCCACGAGGCCAAGGATGCAGGAGAAGCGTTTGTCACCGGCGGAATACGCTAGGTACAAGGCGGAGGGTTTGTGTTTTCAGTGCGGGGGAAAGTACCACGCGAGACATGAGTGCACAAAGAAGGAGTTAATGGTGCTGGTGGTGCAGGAGGAGGAACCCGAAGAGAAGGAGGAGTCGGAGGAAGACGAAGATGAGGTGGAGGCGGTGCAGGAGTTTGCGGAATGCGCCGCATTATCGGCCAAATCGGCCGTGGGGATCTCATCCCCGAAGACAATCAAGCTCAGAGGTGTGGTGAAGGGCAAACCAGCGGTGGTGCTCATTGACAGCGGCGCCACCCACAACTTCATTGACCACCGCTTGATGAAAGAGTTGGGATTGGAAGCAGAAGAAACGGGGAGTTTTGGGGTGATTAGAGGAACTGGAGATCCCGTTAGAGGAGGGGGCATTTGTCGGAACGTGACGTTGAAGATGCAAAGTTACTCTATCACTTCCGATTTCCTGCCGCTAGAACTCAACAATGTGGACGTGATATTGGGCATTCAGTGGCTAGAAACGCTTGGAGAGATGAGAGTGAACTGGAAGTTGCAGCAAATGAAGATACCAGTTAAAGGGAAAATGATAAAGTTGCAAGGAGAGCCGGGAATTTGCAGCTCCGAGTTCTCATTAAAGGCACTGAAGAAGGTCATGGATCAACAAGAGATGAGTGTGTTGGTGGAGTGTAGGAGTTTAACTAAGGAGGGGGAACAAGGGGGAAGGGTTCCTAAGGGGATGAAGAAACTCTTGTCTCAGTTCGAGTGTGTCTTTGAGGAGCCGAACGGTCTACCACCAACTAGAGGGAGGGAGCACGCCATAACATTAACCCAGGGTAGTAACCCAGTTAGTGTACGGCCATTCCGATACCCGCAGGCTCAGAAGGAGGAAATTGAGAAACAAGTCAGTACAATGCTGAAGGCAGGGATCATTCAAGAAAGTATCAGTCCGTTCTCGAGTCCGGTACTACTGGTGAAGAAGAAAGACGGCAGCTGGCGCTTTTGTGTGGATTATAGGGCACTGAACAAGGTTACGGTGATGGACAGTTACCCTATACCCATGATAGACCAGCTGCTGGATGAGTTGAAGGGGGCCAAAGTGTTTTCTAAGCTGGACTTGCGTTCGGGGTACCACCAGATACGGGTCAAGACGGAGGACATACCCAAGACGGCATTCAGAACTCATGACGGGCACTACGAGTTTCTGGTGATGCCATTTGGGCTGTCAAATGCTCCAGCGACGTTCCAATCTCTGATGAATGAGGTATTCCGACCATACCTGAGGAAGTTTGTGTTGGTGTTCTTTGATGACATCTTGGTCTTCAGCAAGAGTCATCAAGAACATGAGACACATGTTCGTCTCGTATTGGAGAAACTGCAACAGCACCAGCTCTATGCCAACAGGAAGAAGTGTGAATTTGGAAGTGAGAGCATAGAGTACTTGGGACATGTAATTTCCGTCAACGGTGTAGAGGCAGAGAAAGGAAAGATATCAGCGATGACGGAGTGGCCAGTGCCGAGAAATGTCAAGGAATTAAGAGGGTTTCTTGGGCTGACGGGATATTATCGACGCTTTGTTCAAGGGTATGGGATGATAGCTAAGCCATTGACGGAACTCCTCAAGAAAGATAAATTTACATGGACGGCTATCACGGAAGAGGCTTTTGTCAAACTCAAACGAGCAATGACAACAGCTCCAGTGCTCGCGTTGCCAAATTTCGAAGAACAGTTTGTGTTGGAGTCAGACGCCTCGGGGAAGGGATTGGGAGCGGTACTCATGCAGCAGCAACGTCCAATAGCCTTCTTCAGTCAGGCTTTATCTGATCGACAACAACTCAAGTCAGTATATGAGAGAGAACTTATGGCGATTGTGTTCTCAATTCAGAAATGGAGACACTACTTGTTGGGGAGGAAGTTCACTGTGCGAACCGACCAGAAGAGCCTCAAATTCTTGCTGGAGCAGAGAGAGATCAACATGGAATACCAAAGGTGGCTGTCCAAGCTTCTGGGGTTCGACTTTGACATTCAATATAAACCGGGGTTGGAAAATAAGGCGGCTGATGCACTCTCAAGGAGGGGTTTAACCGCGGAGCTGATGGCTTTGTCAGTTCCCACGGCTATACAACTCCAAGACGTTGAGAAGGAGTTGTCGCGTGATGGTGAATTACAGCTGTTGGTTCAGGAGATTCAGAAGGATCCAGCCTCTCATCCGGAGTATACGCTGGTACAGGGGAGGTTACTTCGTCGTGGGAAGCTGGTGTTACCCAAAGATTCAGTTCTGATTGGTGTCATACTAAGAGAGTTACATGACGGTCGAATGGGAGGGCACGGAGGAGTGCTGCGAACGCAGAAGAAGGTGTGCGATCTGTTCTATTGGTCGGGAATGCTGAGTGATATCAGGAAGTATGTGGCAGAGTGTGCGGTTTGCCAGCGGCATAAATACTCCACTTTGGCACCAAGTGGGTTATTACAACCGTTGGACGTTCCTACTGCAGTGTGGGAGGAGGTAGCTATGGATTTCATCGAAGGGTTGCCGAAATCTGAGGGTTACAATTCCATCCTGGTGGTGGTGGATAGGTTGACGAAATACGCGCATTTCATCAAACTTCGTCATCCTTTCACGGCTACAGATGTTGCGCTGGTGTTCGTTCAAGAAGTAGTTAAGCTCCACGGATTTCCGAAGTCTATTGTTTCAGATAGAGACAAGGTGTTTACTAGTCAGTTTTGGAAGGAGCTTTTCCGCCTGGCTGGAACCAAGTTGTGCATGAGTACGGCTTACCATCCCCAATCGGATGGACAAACGGAGGTGACCAATAGGGGGCTGGAAACATACCTGAGATGCTTCGCGAGTGACAAACCTAAAACTTGGGTTAAGTTCTTACCATGGGCCGAGCTATGTTACAACACTTCATTTCACTCCACCATCAAAATGACTCCTTTCAAGGCGGTGTATGGAAGGGAGCCTCCAACGTTGCTGAAATATGAGACAGGTTCCACTTCGAATGCTGAGTTGGAGTGTAAGTTGGTTGAGAGGGATGGCATTCTGTCATTGCTAAGGGAGCATATACTCCAAGCTCAACAGGTGATGAAAAGGCAAGCCGACAGTCACAGGCGTGAGGTTGTTTTCGAAGTGGGAGATAAGGTTTATCTGAAACTGCGTCCATATCGCCAGCAGACCCTGGCTAGGAGAGCTAATGAAAAACTCTCAGCGAGATACTATGGACCGTTTGAGATACTGGCGCGAGTAGGAGAAGTAGCGTATCGCCTCAAACTTCCTGAGGATGCTAAGATTCACAATACTTTCCACGTTTCTCAACTCAAGAAGTCCGTTGGGGACAACAACCCGCAGTCGCCTTTACCCTTTCAGTTGAGTGCAGAAGGTGTTCTCGAAGTTCAACCGGAGAGAGTACTGGCTACGAGAGTGCATCCAGTAACGGGACAAGAGGAGCTGTTGATTCAATGGAAGGGGTTACCTGAGTATGAGAGTTCTTGGGAGTGGAAACGGGTTATTCAAGGGCAATACCCTGAGTTTGACCTTGAGGACAAGGTCAATTTTGCAGAGGGGAGTAATGTTAGGTATGAGGCATTACGTCCACCTATACTTTATGAGTACAAGAGGAGGAAGAAAGTGAGTCAGCAGAAGGCAGAGAATGGTAGTGCTGACGTGGAGGAAAGGACTACGTAAGAGTATTACTAAGGAGGGAATAAAAGAATAAGGGACATTCAGGTGGTGAGCTGGCTACCTATCCTAACGTCCCACGTGATATGTTTATTCCTTTTGCAGTCATGTATTTAGGATGAGCGTAGGAAGAGAGAGAGGGTATCAAGTTATTTGATCAGAGTTGTAAGGGGGAGGTGAGAGACTCCATTTATTAATTCTCTCAAGCTTGTAATTCCGTTTATGATCAATATAATTCTCTTTTTCATCTAATCCATAACACCCCCCAGAGAGCTTTCTGTACCCAAAAGGTTTGTTGAAATAATAATGCTTTCATGAAGGAGGATGAGAGTTGCATCAATTTAACTGTGCTTTATTTGTTTTACTTCATATTTTGCTTCTTGCTAGTCAACTAGAACCATTTGTCACTGTCAATGCGTTTTAAAATAAATATGACAACTCTTTTGTTTTACGACCCCCACCCAAATGATCAGTAAGACGCATTGATAGAATTATAAATCATGTTTTCATAGCCTAAAATCTGGGGGGAAAAAAAACAATATATTTTCATAGTTAAGCACACAAAAATAATGTATTTCTTATTTTCTTTTCAACTGAGAAAGAGGCCAACTCCAGTGACATCTCAAGTTTGAGATCATGAAGATCATGAAAACCTAAAAATGACGAAAGAAACATTAAATACAAATCCAAAAGGATTCATCAACAAAAGTGAAGCCAAGAGCTCACCTCTAAAAGAAAAAGCTATATTTAATGTAGTTGTGTATTGTAGGAGCCATCGTACTCCTGAGAGTGAAACCATTTAGTTGATGCCCACTTGTTTCCTTTGATTACTGGACGACCACCTGAATACAATCAATCAAAGGTTTAAACCAAGTCAACAAGAGTAATAATACTATGATCTAAGAAACGAATAAAGAAAAACAGTGCAAACTAGAAGGGTCTTGAGATCCGTCAGGCCTCTGGTTCCAGAAGAGTACAGCGTCTCCCTTCTTTGGTGAAACAGATAGTCCTCCACTGGACCTAGGGAAGTCTGTTTCGCCTCCTTCATCAACGTTCTGAGCTAATTATCATTAAAAAAAAATATGAACATTACTAACACTTTCTTGTGGCTGATATGAGACACATTATATTAAAAAAAAGTTGTAACATACAGGTACATAAGGAAAGTACAAAGTCTTCCCGATCCATCATAGTGAGTGTCAAATTTTTGCCCAACTTCATAATGCATTACTTGAAGACCTTCTCCATTTTCTGCATTTAATTACCATCACAAACTTAAACTATTACCAAAACAATCTAAGAGTAACAATATATCATTAGAAAGAACCACTTACCTACAGGGAGGAAGGTGAATTCTGAAATTCTTTTCTCAATCTCTTCCACAATTTTGTCATGTCCTCTTTCAATAAAACATCCCGTGCTCGTCCTCGAGCTGCACATTAAAGGGACACTTCCAAATCTCACATCTTTCTAAAATTAAAAATCTTGCACTATGGAGAAACAAAAACAAAAAGATTGAGAGTATACAGAACCTGCTTTCTTCTCGCACTCCGGTTCTCGCTATGCGCACCGTTGACCTTATCATCTCAGGTTTCGCGAGGCTTATCAAGTGCTCACATTCTTCATTTTTCTTTACATAGAATTTATAGAAACCGGGCATAAGAATTTTTTTTTTTTTTTTTTTATCAAAACCGAGCATAAGATTAAACCCTAAATATTTAACCCAAAAAAAAATCCGACCAAAAAAACCCTAAAAAATTTTGACCCAAAAAAAACCTAAACCTTTGAAGTGCATGTGTATTTGAACCTAAAGCAAAAATCCTAGACAAGTTCTAGTTTCTTTAACTTGTCTGACAACCTATATGAACTAGCATGTAGCTGGCAAAGTCTCATCTACCATAAAATAATCCTAAATAAAAATATTTATCCCAAAAGAAGCAAAAAAAAAAAGGAATTACCAAGAAATTGTGGTAAAGGAAAGCTCTAGGTTTCACTGAGATTACTTCAGGCCAACGCTCATGAGGGAAGCGCAACGAAGCATCAACCTTCTCTATGTTACACGTAAGTGCTGTCAACAGAGGGGGAAGAGAACACAACAAGATTGATAAATTATTAAAGTCATCAATTTTCACGTTCACTGAATCATCTCCCATTGTTTCTTTGAACGCGTCGATGTGCTGCATAAGGTCTGAAACTCCATATATCTTTAGCTTGTGCAACCTCTCCTTCAGATACAGTGAGGTAGTAGACGGTGAAGTCGACGTATAGATAGTGAATTCGCAAAGAGAATCGAATCAAGGTATGAACTCGTACGTGAAGCGTTAACTTTATAAAGAAAACGATTGAGGGATAATCTAGAGATTTACTTTTTTTCTTTTCTTTTTAGAAGTAAATTTTGAGAGTAATAATAACAAAAGGAGAGGATAGCTATATATTCTCTTTATACAATAATAATTAAAAAAACAATATTTAAAATTGATTATAAGACATGTTTCTTTATTTAATAACTAGTTGTTTTGCCAACACTTGCGGACATAATTTTCTTATGAATATTTATTAGTTGATGTTTTATTAATTTAAAATCCAGCATAATAAGTTATATTTATGTTTTCAAAAAGTACAAATCAAACATCAAATAACTATCTATGACAAAACTCAAACATCAGAAAAATTCAAAAGAATACATTTATATAATTATTGTGCTTGATTTATATTTAATAATAATAATATTTATACAAATATTTTACTTACTTTATAATTATAATTTTTGATATCTTAATTTTAAATTTTATAATAGAAAACATATTTTCAAGATAACAATATCTTGCATAAGTTATTTATTTTCTAAAAATATAATATGATAAGTTTGTTTTAATCATATAATAATTATATAAGATTATAGAAATTATGACATATAATTAAATTACTTAAAATCATGGAGAACTTAATGAATCAGCAAATTCACTTCTTAAATAATTTTCTTGAGTGATGATTTATATTTAATTAATAATAGATAATTTTCTATTTTAATTGTAAATTATATAAAATAAAAATATATTTTCATGATAACAACATAATACGTAAGAAGTATCTTATTTTCTAAAAATCTAATACTATTAATATAAATTTGTTTTAAATATATAATAAATCATATATAAAATTATAGAAATTATGATAAATTATCAAAATTACCTACAATTATGGAAAATATGACAAATCGACAAGCATTAATTCACCTCTTAAATATTGATCTTACATTTTCATTGAAGTTTTGTGTTATTGGTTTGATGATTTTAATTATATTTCTATACAAAATCTCTTGTTATTCAAAAAGTTTAGATTTTAATAATTCTACAAATCTATTAAAGTACATGTTATTGGGAGATATATTCTTAACATTTTAACTCACAAAACAAGATTTTGAGAATACTTCATATATCTCTTGTATTCTTAAAATCATTATACTAGTTTACTTTCATAGATTTTTACAATATACAAAATTCTCTATAATTCTTTACAAATTTAACAAATCTCTCAACTCTTAAAATCAACAAACTCTATAGAAATCTAAATTCCACTAACACTTCCTAAGATTGCAATACATGATCAAACTATAAGAAAAGGGATAAGCCAGGCCCAGAGAGCTTTCTGTCGCCTAAAGGTTTGTTGCAATAAAATGTTATCATGAAGGAGGATGAGACTTGCGTTAATTTAAGCTTTGCTTTCCTTTCTATTTTGTTCGTCTTGCTTCTTCCTAGTCATCAATCATCTGGAACCATTGTCAATTTGACACTGTCAAGGCGTTTTTAAATAAATAATTATATGACAACTCTTTTGCTTAAAGACATATAAATACGCATTGATAGAATTATAAATTATGTTTTCATGGTGAAAAAAAAACACTGGGAAAAAAAGAAATATATTTTCTTAGATAAGCACAGAAAGAATGGGTTTCTTATTTTTTTTCAACTGAGAAAGAGGTTTAACTCCAATGAGATATCATGTGTTGAGATCATGAAAACCTGCAAATGACGACAGAAACATTAAATACAATCCAAAGGATTCATCAACAAAAGTGAAGTCAAGAGCTTACCTCTCTCTCAAAAAACAGCTATTTGTACTCCTGCGAGTGAAACCATTTAGTTGATGCCCACTTGTTTCCTTTGATTACTGGACGACCACCTGAATCAATCAAACTCATCAAACTAAGACAAAAAAGGGTAATAATACTAATGATAATATGATTTTGGCAATGTGTTTTGTCTCTCTGACCATGCAAACTGGAAGGGTCTTGAGAACCGTCAGGCAACTTGTTCCAGAAGAGTAGAGCGTCTCCTTTCTTTGGTGAAACAATTAGTCTTCCACTGGCCTTAGGGAAGACTGTTTCGCCTCCTTCATCAACGTCCGACCTAATTATCATTAATCAAAAAAAAAGTAAGATTACTATCGCACTCTCGTGTCTGATTACTCAAAAGATTGTTGTATGCATGGTTTTTAACATACAGGTACATAAGGAAAGTAGCAATTCTTGACAATCCATCAAAGTGAGGGTCAAATTTCTGGCCAACTTCATAATGGATTACTTGAAGACCTTCTTCTCCATTTTCTGCATTTAATTAATTACCATCACAAACTTAACTATTACCCCAAAACAATGTAAAGAGTAACAAAAGAAATTAAGAATCACACACCTATAGGAATGAAGGTGAATTCTGAAATCCTCTTCTCAATCTCTTCCACAACTTTGTCATGTCCTCTTCCAATATAACTTCCCGTGCTCGTCCTCGCGCTGCATCCACATTAACGGGTCACTTCCAAATCTCAAAAATCTTGACCAAGGGAGAAACAAAATACAAAAAGATTTTGAGTACATAACGTACCTGCTTTCTTTCCCCCCTCCAGTTATTGAATCATGAACCATTGACCTCATCATCTTAGGTTTCGCGAGGCTGATCAAATGCTCGCATTCTTCATTTGTCTTACATAAATTTTATAGAAACCAGCGCATAATAAGATCAATAAACCCTAAACCTTTCATAGGCTAATAAATCATTCAAAAAGATGAACCCGAAATATTGCGTTGTTACATTCTTTCTCATGAGAGAAACATGTGTTTTTTTTTTCTAACTGGAGAGTTGCAAGTAAGAAGATCTAAAGCACAAACCCTAGACAAAGTTCTAGTTTCGTTAACTTGTCTGACAAGCTATATGAACTAGCATGCAGATAGCAAAGTCTAAAATATCCAAAATTAATTAAAATTTAATCCCAATAGAATTTTATAAAAAAAAAGAAAAAAGAAGGGAATTACCAAGAAGTTGTGGTAAAGGAAAGCTTTAGGTTTCCATGAGATTACTTCAGGCCAACGCTCATGAGGAAGACGCAGGGAACATTGAAGCTTCTCTATGTTACACATGACTGCTGTCAACAAAGGGGGTAGAGAACACAACGCGATTGATACACATTTAAATATGTCATCAACTTTCACGCTCACGGAATCACCCATTGTTTGGTTGAGCGTGTTGATGTGCTGCATAAGATCTGAACCTCGGTCTATCTTTAGCTCCTCCAACCTCTGCCTCAGATACACTATGGTAGACGGTGGATTTGACCCAAATAACATAGTGATCAATTCGCAAGAGAGACAAATCAAAATATCAACTCCAAACGTTAATGTTATATATATATAGGAGGCTATTAATTATCCAGGGGGTTGCCTTTTTTCTTTAAATTAATTAACTTAATTTTGTGAGGATAACTACACAACTGTATATATCTCTTTGTATAATCATTGAAAACTATATTTAAAATTGATCGACGACGATAAGACAGGCTTGTTATATTTTAAATCGAGAATAAATTAAAAAATGAAAAATGAAAAATGTAGACTAGCAACATGGCCAGAGCAAAGAGAAGTGAAACATTGGTCGATAGACTCCCCATATTTATTAAAACAATTTTTTGTTATCATGGAGGATGAGAGTTGAGTTAATTTAAATTCTGCTTTCTTTTCTCTTTGTTTGTTTTGCTTTTTTCTAGTCATTAATTGAAAGTTGAAACTATTGTCACTGTCAAGGCATTTTTAAATAAATATAACAACTCTTTTGTTTAACGAACCCCAAAAAGATGGATTAAGACGCATTAATAAAATTATAAATCATGTTTTCATACTGAAATAAAAATAACATATTTTTCATAGAGAAGCAAAGATAACAGATTTCTTGTCTCTTTTCAACTGAGAAAGAGGTTAACTCCAGTGAGTTCTCAATTTTGAGATCATAGAAACCTGCAAATGACGAGAGAAACATTAATACAATCCAAAGGGTTCATCAACAAAAGTGAAGTCGAGAGCTTACCTCTCCAAAAAAAATCTATTTTTATCGTCGTGTATTGTAGGAGCCAATTCCCTTAAGGTTGTGGAGGGGATCTAACAATAAAAAGAAAGATAAAGAAAAATAAATTAAGGAAAGAGAAATAAAAAGTTCTGATTTTGTTACTCTTAAGAACCTCTAAATGCATCATTTTCCATTTGTCCTTATCTAATTGGTCTAGTGATTTAATTTAAATCAAATGTTTTATTCTTTAATTTAAATATCTATTATTTTGTTTTTAAACCTCTAGTTTACAAACTCACCAATAAGGTTGCTCTTATACTCATAAGGGTGAAACCATTTAGTTGCTGCCCACTTGTTTCCTTTGACTACTGGACGACCACCTGAATACAATCAAACTCATCAAACTAAGACAAAAAGGGTAATAATACTATGATTCAAGAAAACGCAATGTGTTTGTTTCTCTGACCATGCAAACTGGAAGGGTCTACAGACCCATCAGGCCTCGTGTTCCAGAAGAGTACAGCGTCTCCTTTCTTTGGTGAAACAATTAGTCTTCCACTAGACCTAGGGAACTCTGTTTCGCCTCCTTCATCAACGTCCGACCTAATTATCATAAATTAAAAAAAAAGGTAAGATTACTAACAACTCATTCTCGTGTCTGATCAATCATGAGAAAAATTGTTGTATCATACAGGTACATAAGGAAAGTAGCAATTCTTCCCAATCCATCATAGTGAGAGTTAAATTTCTGGCCAGCTTGATAATGGATAACTTGAAGACTTTCTCCATTTTCTGCATTTTACCCATCATCAAGAGTCAAGACAATGTAAAGAGCAACAACAACAACAATATCCATATATAGAAAGAATCACATACCTACAGGGACGAAGGTGAATTCTGAAATTCTTTTCTCAATCTCTTCCACAATTTTGTCATGTCCTCTTCCTATAAAATTTCCCGTGCTCGTCCTCGAGCTGCACATTAATTGGACCACTTCCAAATCTAAAAATCTTTCTAAATTAAAATTCTTAGACGAGGGGAGAGACAAAAAAAAAAACAAAGAGAATTGAGTACAGAACCTGCTTTCTATCGCCCCTCCATTTATTGAATCACTTACCACTGACCTCATCATCTTAGGTTTCGCGAGGCTAATCAAGTGCTCACATTCTTCATTTTTCTTAACATAAAATATATATTAAACAGAGCATAAGATACAATAAACCCTAAACCTTTCATAGGCTTATAAATCATTCAAAAAGATGAAGGCAATGATTACGTTATTACATGTTTGTCTCACGAGAGAAACATGTCAGTTGAATTTTTTTTATGGAGAGTTGTAAGTAAGAATATCTAAAGCACAAATTACCTTAGACAAGTTCTAGTTTCTTTAACTTGTTAACAAATTATATGACAGATAGCAAAGTCTCATCTACCAAATAAATATCTAGAATCAAAATTATATCCCAAAAAAAAAGAAAAGAAAAAGAATTACCAAGAAGTTGTGGTAAAGGAAAGCCCTAGGTTTCCACGAGATAACTTCAGGCCAACGCTCATGAGGAAAGCGCAAGGAAGCATCAATCTTCTCTATGTTACACGTAAGTGCTGTCAACAAAGGGGGAAGAGAACACAACAAGATTGATAAATTATTAAAGTCATCAATTTTCACGTTCACTGAATCACTCATTGTTTCTTTAAACGTGTCGATGTGCTGCATAAGATCTGAAACTCCATATATCTTTAGCTTGTGCAACCTCTGCCTCAGATACTGTGAGGTAGTAGACGCAGACATGGTGAATTCGCAAGAGAATCGAATCAAGGTCTGAACTCGAACGTGAAGCTCTAACTTTGTTAAGATGACGATTGAGGCTATATATATTATCTAGAGGTTTACTTTTTCTTTTTAAAAGTTAATTTTGCGAGTGATAATAACAAATAGAGAAGATATATATTCTCTTTATACAATAATAATTAAAAAGAAAACAATATCTAAAACTGATCATAAGATATGTTTATTTATTTAATAATCGAGGTAAGAAAGAAAATAGTTCATAAGGTAACAACATGAACTACATATGTAATTTTACTTAATTAAAGACCAGAACGCGATTTTGCTGGTGCAGTGTTTGAGTAAGTTTTACTTAATAAGGATGAGATTAACAATGATACACATATATTGATGAGATCATGGAAACCTGCAAAAGACGACAGAGACATTAAAACAATCTAAGAAAATAAAGATTTTATCACTAAAAGTGAGGTTAAGAGCTTTACCTCTTCTTTTTCTTTTTTTACTCAATTCTTGTACTCGTGAATGTGTAGCCATTTAGTTGATGACCACTTGTTTCCTCTAATCACTGGACAGCCACCTGAACCAATCAAAGAAGTTTATGAGAGGTTTTGGTTTTTAAATCTCTACTAATTTAAGTTTCATAGAAAGACAAGCTATCTCTCTCTCTCTCTCTCACCATGCAAACTCGAAGGGTCTAGAGACCCATCAGGCCTCATGCTCCAGAAGACCAAAGCGTCTCTCTTCTTTGGAAGAACAGAGAGTCCTTCTTTACCACATTGTGAGAGCTCGTTCCACCATGGGACATCACTAATATTTCCTTTGGCCAAAGGGAAAACTGTTTCACCGCCTTCATCAACGTCCGAGCTTAGGTAGTAGAAGCAGCAAATAAATAAAATTAACTAACGCATATCTATTGAACAAAGATTGTAAATGAACATGGGTTTTACATACAGGTACATAAGAACAGTAGCAACTCGCTGCCCTCCTCTTTTGACGTTGAACTCGTCTGTGAAGTAGTCATGGTGAGGCTCATATTTTTGCCCAACTTCATAATGTAGAACTTGTAGACTCTCTCCATTTTCTGCAGTGACGTTACACGTTAGCTCCCCAAGAAAATGTAGACTAGCAACATGGCCGACGTGAAACAATAGTCTATAAAATATATAGACACATACCTCCCAAATTTATTTAAATTCTTTTTGTTGAAACATTTACTAAATTGTTTACGGTCCTGACCGGCCTCTGACTAGCAAATTCTTTTAGTTCGGTCCAAAATCCAAAACCGTTATCATGTTTTGGATAAGTAAGAAGAAGCAAAACCACATACCTACAGGAATGAATGTGAAATCTGAAATTCTGTTCTCAATCTCCTTCACTATTTCGTCATGCCCAGTTTTAAGAAAAGCTCCTGAACTTGTTCGTACTCTGCACATTAACGCATTTGGAAATTTAAAATTCAAGAAGTTTCCAAATGCAACTTGAAGTGGGGAAAAAGACATGACTGAGTAACGAACCTGCTGTCTTTGCTCCTTCCAGTTTTGACATCAGCCACCTTTGACTTCGCCATGTTAGGTTTTGCGAGGCTAATCAAGTGCTCACATTCTTCATTTGTCTTTACAAAATTTATAAGAAAATAAAGACTAATAGCTTGCGTTGCAAGAAATATCTTAACTACATGAATACTAAGCACATTAACAAGTCTAAATTTTATCTTAGGGAAGCAAAATAAGTTACCAAGAAATTGTGGTAAAGGAAAGCTCTAGGCTCCCACGATATAACTTCAACCCAACGCTCACCGTTACCTTCTTCGTCTCCATAAGTACTCTCCCTGCTTATCAAAACGAAAGCGCTATTACTCAATCACGTCCACAGGATCAAACAAAAAGACAGAACACCATTTTCTCTAACCTCTCCTCACTAGTCCGTTCAACAGTGTTCAAATCTGTCGGCCTTGAAGAGATCATGCTGGTGCTGGGTAGTGAAAGGATCCCGAGACCAAGAAGGATGAGAATGGAGAAGAGTAAAAGTATAAGAACTGTGAAAGCATGCGTCGGCAATGAAGATTTACGCGGCTGAGGACGGAGGTGCTTCGGTTTCTTCACCATTCTTGATGGGATTGTTTGTTTTTATCAACAAGTTTTCAAGAAACCGTAGAGAATCTAATAAAGCTGAAAGAGAAGACGTTACACTGAAAACACGCATTTGAATACGGAAGCTATATATGAGTAAATGAATTGTTTTGTTTTAGTCTTTAGCGTGTTGGTTAGATACAGAGATAGAAGTGCATTACTTATCAAGTTCTTGTTTCTAGCATAGAGATTCTTTCCTTCTTTTATAGTTTTGAGCCATTTGTGGTTGAACCGTTGAAGTTAAACTAGTAGCTGAATATCATGCATTGATTAAACCTGTCAGTCGCTACATATAAGCTTAAGCATATGTATTACTATGACGTTAATAATAAAATATCATGTTTGTTGTCTTTCAAAATATTAACCGTACCCTTCGTTCTAAAAATTATTTTAATTAACTCTACTTATGGTAGTGTTAAAAGCATGATTAACCCTAGCTAAGAGCTTTTTTTTTTTTTAATGATTTAAAAAATAAAAAATAAAAAAATCAACTATGTGTTAGTAGAACCCACGAAAAATACAAAAACCCAAAAATATTGATTCTTACCGAAGAAGAAGAAAAGTTGCTTCTTACTTAAATGGTAGGATTCACCTCTTAAAAATCTTCTTAAAAAGTAAGGTTAATCATGGTCTAAGAATATGAACTAAGTTTAGTAGCACCTTTAGTTTTGAAAATCAATAGTAGGATTAATCATGGTCTAAGAATATGAATTAAGTTCAGTAGCACCTTTAGTTTTGAAAACCAATTATTATGTGTAGAGCTTAAATGTTCTTTTGAGAAATCTACTAATTGTCTTCTGATAATGTTAAATTTTTATGTATTTATTTGCTTGCTTAAAAAAATATTCTGCATCTGTTGAGTAAACCGGAAATGAATAGTTAAGTATAAACCAACTAAACCGATAGAGATTTTGATAATAACCAAAGACATGTTTCGTTGGGCAGCGCAGAATTTTCGGTCCCCGTTGTTTAAAAAACCTTTCGGCCCATCTAATCGGCCTAAGTCATTTACGGCCCAATTAACAGCAACCGACCTTTGCGGAACCGATCTCTCTATAAATAAGAGGCTTAGGGTAACGATTTTCTTTTCTTCCTTCATACCTCTCTCTCCTCTCGCGAGAGCAAATCCAGATCTGGCCGTATCAAACGAGAAGAAAAGAAAACGTTAAAAAAAGAAATTAAGCTGAAGTAAAACTGTAAACTGACTCAAACAAATACAAAATAAATTCGAAAGCGAGGGAAACAAACACCAATACCGTTATAACTCGATTTGATTCCTAAGTTTCTAGGGTTTTTCGTATCCTTTGATCGGAGCTTCACCGCGATGGATACGCGGTTTCTGTTCTCTCCGGCTGAGGTCTCAAAAGTCCGCGTGGTTCAGTTCGGGATTCTCAGCCCCGATGAGATCGTAATGCTCCTTTTAAAGCTCATTGCTCCGCCGTCTGTTTGGCCGGCGGGAAAATTGAACTGAGAGTGAATAGTAATGAAATTGACACTATTTAAGGTTCTAATGGCCTTTTGTTTTTTTTCTTTCAGAGGCAAATGTCTGTTATGCACGTGGAGCATAGTGAGACCACGGAGAAGGGTAAACCTAAGGTTGGAGGATTGAGCGATGCTCGGCTCGGTACGATTGATCGGAAGGTGAAGTGTGAGACGTGTATGGCTAACATGGCTGAGTGCCCAGGGCATTTTGGTCATATTGAGCTAGCTAAGCCTATGTATCACGTTGGTTTTATGAAGACTGTGTTGAGTATCATGCGTTGTGTTTGCTTCAATTGCTCCAAGATCTTAGCTGATGAGGTGTGGATGTGATTGCATCTTGTGATTGCATCGAATTTATGGCTATGTTAGTGTTGAGAGTAATCCAATTTTTTTTTTTTTTCATGAAGGATGAGCATAAGTTCAAGCAGGCTATGAAGATAAAGAACCCGAAGAATAGGCTTAAGAAGGTTCTGGAAGCCTGCAAAAACAAGACTAAATGTGATGATGGGGATATTGATGATGTTCAGAACCAAGAAACAGACGAAGCTGTGAAGAAAAGCCGTGGTGGATGTGGTTCAATACAACCGAAACTGAGTATTGAGGGCATGAAGATGATTGCAGTGTATCAAAGAACAAGGAAGAAAAACGATGAGCTGGACCAGCTTCCAGAGCCTGCAGCAATGAAACAGACGCTTGGTGCTGACAGGGTTCGTCTTTTCTTTCTGTTCCCAGTGTATGTAAGTACCCCCTTCATGTTTGAGGGTAATCTGATGGCATTTGAGATTTTTGCAGGTTTTGAGTGTTTTAAAGAGGATTAGTGATGCGGATTGTCAACTCTTGGGGTTCGACCCCAAGTATGCTCGTCCTGACTGGATGATTCTGGAAGTGCTGCCTATTCCTCCACCCCCTGTTAGACCATCTGTCATGATGGATGCCACTTCCAGAAGTGAGGTAAGTCTGACTTTGGTTTATCCGATTAATATTTTGGATGTGCCCATTGAATGTGTGTCCCTGAGTTCATGCTTGTTGTTGATGCAGGATGACTTGACTCATCAGCTAGCCATGATCATTCGACACAACGAGAATTTGAAACGGCAGGAAAAAAATGGAGCACCAGCTCATATTATATCAGAGTTTACACAGCTCTTGCAGTTCCATATAACAACATATTTTGATAATGAGTTGCCTGGACAGCCAAGGGTAATACTTTGTATCCCTCAAGATCTGGTCTGATACATACAGACTTGCTTGATCTGTATTGGCCTTTACTTTTTTCCAGGCTACTCAAAAATCAGGCAGGCCTATTAAATCAATATGTAGTAGACTGAAGGCGAAGGAAGGCAGAATCAGGGGAAATTTGATGGGAAAACGAGTTGATTTCTCTGCACGTACTGTCATTACACCAGACCCAACAATAAATATCGATGAGCTTGGTGTACCGTGGAGTATTGCTCTGAATCTCACATATCCTGAAACAGTTACTCCATATAACATTGAAAGGTTTACTTCTGGTGTTTATTTTATCTTGAGAAAGTATTTTTCTCCATTTTTGTTGACAACATTTCTTTTACCAGATTAAAGGAGCTAGTGGATAATGGGCCACATCCTCCACCTGGCAAGACTGGAGCTAAATATATCATTAGGGATGATGGCCAAAGACTAGACCTTCGGTACCTTAAGAAGAGCAGTGATCATCATTTGGAACTTGGATACAAAGTATTTACTGCTTTCTTTATTCTATCTACTCAAGGCACAAAGTTTTTTTTCTGGACGTATTTATTTAAATATGCTTTCTCGTTCATAGGTGGAGCGGCACTTAATTGATGGTGACTTCGTTCTTTTTAATCGTCAACCAAGTCTGCACAAAATGTCTATCATGGGTCACAGGATTAGGATCATGCCATATTCCACTTTCCGTTTGAATTTGTCTGTAACTTCTCCTTACAATGCTGATTTCGATGGGGATGAGATGAACATGCATGTACCACAATCATATGAGACCAGAGCCGAGGTGTTGGAGCTGATGATGGTTCCCAAATGTATAGTCTCTCCTCAGGCGAATCGGCCTGTGATGGGTATTGTGCAAGATACCCTTCTAGGATGCCGTAAAATTACAAAGAGAGATACCTTCATAGAGAAGGTAACCATTTCATTAGCGATTTTTAAAATATTATTAGAGTTTGAATTCTAAACAATTTAACTCATAGAACCAAAATTAAAAAAAAAATATTACATCTAATTTTTTTAAAATATGAAAAAACTCTTTACGAATTCAACAATTTTTTTGATTCTTAAAATCAAAAATTCAATATGAATATAACTCTCACTAACCCCTTTAATAATATAATTATAAAATGTTTAAAATATATAAAACATGCGACAGCTTCGTGTTATATTGCTCAAATTAATTAGCAAAAATTATAAAATGATACAGATTCGTGTTATATTGCTCAAATTAGTTATAGCAAACATTGATCAAGTTAACAATTATTATATGTTCGATAGGAAAAATTATATAATTATCACTTACATATGTTATGTTTTATATATAGCTTATTATAAGTTTATATAATAAGATTTATAATTCTAATGTAGCTATTGGTTTCGTCAACCTATTTAGAGCTATTTATTAATTTATAAAAATAAACAAAAAACTAAAGGTCTGTTTTGTTATAGTTATAAATATCTCTGTTTACTGGGAGGATATGCTGACATCTTTTCCATTTTCAGGATGTATTCATGAATATGCTTATGTGGTGGGAAGACTTCGATGGGAAAGTTCCAGCTCCCGCAATTTTGAAGCCTCGTCCTCTTTGGACTGGCAAACAAGTCTTTACCCTCATCATACCAAAGCAGATAAATCTATTCAGGTACTCTGCATGGCACTCAGATCAAGAGACGGGATACATAACACCAGGTGACACTCAAGTGAGAATTGAAAGAGGGGAGCTTCTCGCCGGAACTCTCTGCAAAAAGACCCTTGGTACCGGTAACGGAAGTCTCGTGCATGTTATTTGGTAAGATTCTTCATCCTGTTAACTTAGCACAAAATATTAACATCAAAATCTTATAGTCTTGATTGTGGCTTGTCACATCTGCTACGTATTAAAATTTAGTAACTGGTTTCATGCGCTCATTTATTTTTATTACGTTGTTTATAGGGAAGAAGTTGGACCTGATGCAGCTAGAAAATTCCTCGGTCATACTCAATGGCTTGTCAACTACTGGCTACTGCAGAATGGTTTTAGCATTGGAATTGGTGACACCATTGCTGATTCGTCAACAATGGAGAAAATTAATGAGACTATTTCTAGTGCAAAAACGGCTGTGAAAGGCCTTATCCGTCAATTCCAGGAAAAGAAATTGGACCCTGAACCGGGGAGAACCATGACAGAGACATTTGAGAACAGGGTTAATCAGGTACATTAATGGCTTGATAATAATAATATAAATTTCCTTATCTGATCTCTGCTGACTCATTTACTGCTCTTTTAGGTTTTGAATAAAGCTCGTGATGATGCTGGAAGTAGTGCTCAAAAGAGTTTAGCAGAAACCAATAACCTCAAGGCCATGGTGACAGCAGGATCCAAAGGAAGTTTCATTAACATTTCTCAAATGACTGCGTGTGTCGGTCAGCAAAATGTGGAAGGGAAACGGATCCCATTTGGTTTTGATGGGCGAACATTGCCACATTTCACCAAAGATGATTATGGTCCTGAAAGTCGTGGGTTTGTGGAGAATTCATACCTACGTGGGTTGACTCCTCAAGAGTTCTTTTTCCACGCAATGGGAGGAAGGGAAGGTCTTATTGATACTGCTGTGAAAACATCAGAAACTGGATACATTCAGAGACGTTTGGTCAAGGCTATGGAGGATATTATGGTTAAATATGATGGGACAGTCAGAAACTCGTTGGGTGATGTTATTCAGTTTCTCTACGGGGAAGATGGTATGGATGCTGTGTGGATCGAATCCCAGAAGCTGGATTCTTTGAAAATGAAGAAATCTGAGTTCGATAGGACTTTCAAGTATGAGATTGATGACGTCGACTGGAATCCATCATACATAAGTGACGAACATCTTGACGACTTGAAAGGGATCAGGGAGTTGCGTGATGTGTTTGATGCGGAGTATCAGAAGCTTGAGGCTGACAGATACCAACTTGGCACTGAAATTGCTACAAATGGTGATAGCACTTGGCCATTACCTGTGAACATCAAGAGGCATATCTGGAATGCACAGAAGACTTTCAAGATTGACTTACGCATGATTTCGGATATGCACCCGGTCGAAATTGTTGACGCTGTTGATAAGTTACAGGAGAGGTTGCTTGTTGTTCCTGGTTACGATGCATTGAGTGTAGAGGCACAGAAAAACGCCACACTGTTCTTTAACATTCTGCTTCGCAGCACTCTTGCTAGTAAAAGAGTTTTGGAGGAGTACAGGCTCAGCCGCGAGGCTTTTGAGTGGGTTATTGGTGAGATAGAATCGAGATTTATACAGTCGCTTGTAGCCCCCGGGGAAATGATCGGTTGTGTTGCTGCTCAGTCAATTGGAGAGCCAGCTACGCAGATGACACTGAACACTTTCCATTACGCTGGTGTTAGTGCGAAGAATGTTACTCTCGGTGTTCCCAGGTTGCGAGAGATTATTAACGTTGCGAAACGGATCAAGACACCTTCACTATCTGTCTACCTCACACCGGAAGCTAGCAGATCAAAAGAAGCGGCTAAGACTGTTCAATGTGCTTTGGAGTATACTACTCTCCGGAGTGTCACTCAAGCTACGGAGGTCTGGTATGATCCTGATCCGATGAGTACTATAATTGAAGAAGATTATGATTTTGTGAATTCCTACTATGAAATGCCTGATGAAGATGTTTCTCCGGATAAAATATCTCCTTGGCTGCTTCGTATGGAGCTGAACCGCGAGATGATGGTCGATAAGAAACTGAGTATGGCTGATATTGCTGAGAAGATCCACCTTGAGTTCGGTGATGATCTGACTTGCATATTCAATGATGACAATTCTGAAAAATTGATCCTTCGGATTCGCATTATGAACGAGGAGGGAGGAGCGCAAGATGAATCAGCTGAAGATGATGTGTTCCTTAAAAAGATTGCGAGCAACATGCTGACAGAGATGGCGCTTAGGGGTATTCCAGACATCAACAAGGTTTTCATTAAACAGGTTAGGAAGAGCAAGTTTGATGAGGAGGAAGGGTTCAAGACATCTGAAGAGTGGATGTTAGATACAGAAGGTGTTAATCTGTTAGCTGTGATGTGCCACGAAGATGTTGATCCAAAGAGGACAACAAGCAATCACTTGATTGAGATTATCGAAGTTCTTGGAATTGAGGCAGTTCGTCGTGCATTGTTGGATGAGCTTCGAGTTGTGATTTCCTTTGATGGCTCATATGTGAATTACCGTCATCTTGCCATCTTGTGTGATACAATGACCTATCGTGGCCATCTAATGGCGATCACTCGACATGGAATCAACAGAAACGACACTGGCCCTCTGATGAGATGCTCGTTTGAAGAAACAGTTGATATTCTGCTGGATGCTGCAGCTTATGCTGAGACAGACTGCTTGCGTGGTGTTACTGAGAATATAATGCTGGGCCAGCTCGCGCCAATTGGAACAGGAGATTGCGAACTGTATATGAATGATGAGATGCTGAATAATGCAATGGAACTTCAGCTCCCTAGCTATACGGATGGCATGGAGTATGGAATGACTCCTGCTCGCTCACCATTTTCAGGCACTCCTTATCATGAAAGCATGATGATGACACCAAACCACCTATTGAGTCCAAATCTGCGATTTTCGCCAACATCAGACGCACTGTTCTCTCCATATGTTAGTGGAATGGCCTTTTCACCTTCTTCTTCTCCAGTCTACAGCCAATCATCCTCAGAATTCAGTCCTACTTCACCTGAATATATCCCCACTTCGCCCATCTACAGTCCCACTTCCCCGACCCACCGTCCCACTTCGCTGACCTACAGTCCCACTTCACCCATCTACAGTCCCACTTCGCCCATCTACAGTCCCACTTCACCCATCTACAGTCCCACTTCCCCGACCCATCGTCCCACTTCGCTGACCTACAGTCCCACTTCACCCACCTACAGTCCTACTTCGCCCATCTACAGTCCCACTTCCTCTACTTACAGTCGCAGTTCTCCTGGCTATAGCCCAACAAGTCCTGGTTATTCTCCAACAAGTCCGACATATTCTCCCACTTCCCCTTACTACAGTCCAACGTCTCCAAGCTACAGCCCAACATCACCTGCCTATAGCCCTACTTCTCCTGCATACATCCAGACCTCTCCATCTTACAGCCCAACATCGCCTTCTTACAGCCCTACTTCTCCCACCTACAGCCCTACCTCGCCTTTTTATAGTCTCACTTCACCCGCATACAGCCCTACATCTCCTGGCTACAGCCCAACTTCACCAAGCTACAGTCCAACATCACCTGGTTACAGCCCAACTTCACCAAGCTACAGTCCATCGTTGGCTTACTCTCCTAGCAATGCAAGACGATCACCAGCTAGTCCCTACAGTCCTACATCTCCAAACTATAGGTGAGTAGTAGTAAACCGCTCTTTAGTGTTTCTACTTCCGTAAACCTTTTCTAATGCTCTGTCTCTATTTGTTAAAATTTTGATAAAATTTTACTCTGCAGCCCTACATCACCATCGTACTCGCCCACATCTCCATCGTATTCACCTTCAAGTCCAACACACTGTCCCAGCAGGTTCGAATTTAAACACTTTAATCTGTTGTATGCATTGATCTTATTTGAAAACGTTCACCAACTATTGTCTTTTGGCATTTGAATTGTGTAAAAAAAGTGTAACCTGTTTGTTGTTGAATGTGTCTCAGCCCAAACAGCTCAGGAGCAAGCCCTGGCTACAGCCCAAGCGCAGGCTACTCACCAACACTTGCTGGCTATTCACCGTCATCCACCGGTCAGTATACACCTCACGAAGGCGATAAAAATGACAAGACTGGAAATGATGCCAGCAAGGATGGTAAAAGCAACCCTTGAAATAGAGAGTAGACATTGTAAGTTTTAAGTAACGTCTTAATCTATTGGAACCATTGGCTTTAAAACTTGTACTGAGCTCTTGTTATTTTGTATAACCAGCAGGGCATGCATGTTGAGAAAAAAAGAAGAAGACGTTTCAAAAGCATCTCCAAAGTGGAATTCTTTGTGAAACGTTTTCTTTAGTATCCCCTTTTACATGATTTTAAAATTTGTTCTAAACCTACCTTTAAGGCTATCTTACATCGCCCCAAAAGGAAACGATATATCATAAACTTTGGGCTCTTCATCTTGGTGTTGAGTACTTCTTGCTTGTTCGATTTAAGAGCGTAAAACAAAACATTGCTTCATTGAGTTGATTTGAATCGGACAATTTCTTTGTTCCGACAAGAGTATTTGATTGGCATGTGACCACTTTAAAGTTTATGCAACTGGATTTTCCAATGTCAATTAAAAATAATAATTATTCGGATTATCAAAAACTGTATACACAGATTTTATGTTTGTTTAATTCGATTTTATTTCTTGATTCGGTCGCCATCAACTATTGGGTTCTTTATTGCATTCTCCAAAACTTTTCTTTAAGTTAATATTTTAGAGTTAATATTTTAGAGTCCGTATAACGAAAGCTTTTCTTTAGTCAATCAAAATACACTAGCATTATTATTTATTAGTAACACTTTTCTAAGCCTTAACAACTTTTAAATAACAATATTATATACCTTTTAAACATATTTGTATATTTATAATAACGTCATTCATAACCTTCTATATTATTAGAACCGAATTTTATGAATGTCTTTTTCTTCTATTCTTATTTCATGATGTTATAAAAACTCTGTATTTTGTTCTACATTATATAGTTTCGCTTATAACCACTTTTTATAATAAAAAGTGCCCCTAAAATCATGTGGCTTTCAATTCTATTTATTCTAATTTGCATAATATTTCATTTAAGGATACTAATTTTCAAATTTTCCCAAATCAAATTGTTGGTACGTTCTGGTATCATATTATGTTATTAAAAATAGGTTTAGAAAAAAGCAACATATTTAGAATAAATACTCTTGGAGATCATTTAAATAAGTATGCAACTCTTTAAGTGAACCTTTTATCAAAAAAAAAACTCTTTAAGTGAACCATTGCAATCTACAATAACTAATGTGGCATTTGATGATCAATTTTTGTAACATTTGGTAGCCGACCATTGCATTTTTATGTCATTTACATTTGTGCGTTATTTGAAATTTCAAGCCTATTTATAATCATTACTGAACCAGAACATCATTGCAACAAGATTCTCCTGTCCATCTTGTTTATTACTTTTTTTTTCTTTTTTTTTCTTTTTTTTTTCTTTTTTTTTTCTTTTTTTTTCTTGTTTATTATTTTCCAACTCAGACTTAGTAGAAAATAATAGTGAGTCTATTTTATGTTTAAGACTTTGATTGGTAATCAATCATATCGGAGCCTAAATTTTGGGAAGAAATTGAGTGATAATGTTTGAAAATATTGAATTGGAGACAGAGGCAAGATTAGTGCAATAAAAGAGATGATTCCACTTCTCATCATGCTTCTCACACAACACAAAACTTTTTCTAATCTTGCATTTTCATACAAGTCGATCAATGATCACGAGCAGGAAACTATATGTCAAATCTCTTATGATCACGATCATGAACAAATCATATCATGTGATGTCATATTTCTAATAGAGATTAAAAAGACGCCAACAATAAAAAAGAAAGTTTTAAGGTTTTGAAGGCAATAAAAAGCTAGATACGTTTTAGTCATCTCCTTCTCTACCCACTTCTTCACCAACCCATTTAACCCATCCATTGCCTTGTTGCCAGCCAAGATATCTAACTTCAAAAGATCAAGCTTTTCTTTGAGCTTGTCGCTATCATAGGCTCGCCATGCTTGGTTATAAGCGAATCCAGAGATCAAGAGCCCAACGGCTATAAACGACCCGGTGAAAATCTCTGCAAACGCATTGCAAGCTTCAACTGTGTCGGTAAAAATGATTGGAGAATGTGGTTTGACTCCACTTGCGAATCCTGTCTTCTTGCTCTCACAAGAGACCATGAACTCACACATCCTTTCACCACAAAGGATATTTGTTTCACATCTCTTCTTAGCTGCTTCGAATACCACCCTTGTAGCAGCAACCTTGAAGACTTTACCCCAAGAAAGACTAGAGAAAGCCTGAAATAAAATCGAGAGATCTCATCAAAATAAAATCGAGATCTCGTCTGCGAGAACAGAGGAAATAGATAATAACTAGATTTTGACCCGTCCTTATAGAGGACGGGACAATGGTATTTGCTTTAAATTTATGTCTTTGTTAGATTATTATCAAGTATGTATAGATATGAGTATATGGATTCAGATAAATGGTTGTTAAGAATTATGGTTTTATCCAATCTTTCGTACATCAATATATCAATGAATATTGATGATGTTATGTACTTCTTTGTAAGGTGAAATATATTAATATTGATATATATTATGACAACTGTAATATATTAATTTTGATTCAAATATATTAATTCTTTAAGTTATTTTAGAATAAGGTAGAAATTTATATTAATATAGAAAATCAACTAAATTATTTTGCTGCTTTTTATTAATTTTGATTTTCCTTTTTTTCTCTTTGCTAATATATGTTAATAGTCTGTTAGCAAAAAGAAAAAAATCTTCCGATTTAATATAAAGCATACACCGTTAGTTTAATATTAATTTCGACATTATTCTTTAAATTTTTTATTTCAATACCAAAATAAATTTTTATGTTGCTGGATAATTATTTTGGATACAAAGCATACACATACCGTGTCTTATGTTGCTGGATCATTACTTTGGAAGGCCCACATAATTATCTAATAAGACACTATTTAATCTAGGCCCAAAACATGACTTTATCAAACCATATGTAAATTTTAATACCTGGCATATAATATGTTTGTTTTTTTTGTGTTGTCTTAATTCAATAGCTGTCTTTTTTTTTATTTACAGAATTATCGAAGTACTTCATTTGGTCCTCTCTCAAAAATTCTAACTGGGGATCGGTTGCGAAACGATTCCGTCATCACAGATCTAGAAAGGTATGTCGAACTTGAGTCTTGTTTTAGTTGATCAAATAATATACTCGTTTCCATCGTCAATTAGTAGATCCTACTCTCATCGGTTTTGTTTGATTTTTTTTCGTTTGTTTCTATGTCTCGTCTAAGCAAAATCTGAATACTTCGATGCTAATCTGTGGTGTTGATATAGGTCTGAAGCAGATCTGCTACAGTTAACACTCCAAAGCAAGATATGTTTCTGATAAGGTTGGATGTGTACTTTTATTAACCGAAATTAAAAAATCTATCAAAGAGGGAGAGATGATGGATCTAGACATTCCGATCTATTCCAGTAAGAAGAAGATTTGTAGTTAACTCATTTTCCCGATCTGAAGTATTTTCTTCATTTTTTATTATTCTCACTTTCTTTTTATTATTTGTTTTTAGGTTCGTCAACGGTAATACACAAAGACAATGACATATCAAAAATAATTTTCACTAAACGTTGATTGAGGTTTGAATTTAATAATTTTTTTTGTTTAATTTAGATTTTGAACAATTTGGTTATAATACATAATACAGAAAAATACATACGCTATTATATATTACTTTGGATCTTACAGAATCACCAAAGCAGGTCATCGAAGCTGTTAGATACAACCAAACTGACAAAAGATAAGTGTACTTGTTCAATAGCGTAGACAGTTGTCGTTGTTCAATTATTTTTTTATGTTGGCAAAAGGAAACTAATATGTATATTTAAAACAGTTTATATACGTAATGATTCAAACAACAAAGGAGATCAGGAGGAAAGAGTAATGAGATGGGAGAGAACCTAAATTAAAACATGTAATATATTATCACTCAATTTAATTAGTATTAGTATTGCAATAGGAATGGAAGTGATTCAAGATAGGTATTTAACCATATTAGCAGCATCACTCCCTGGTGGCAAATTACAAAAAGAGTACTCATCTGGATTTATTGGTATCCCAAATCTAGAATGTGCAGTCATTCCTCCTTGTAACAGAAGAGAAGCAATACCACTCGAGGCAACATTCAACACAATTTCACCTCTGGATCTAATAGCAGAAGAATACCACTCGAGGCAACATTCAACACAATTTCACCTCTGGATCTAATAGCAGAAGATAATAATCTCCACAAAAATGTCTTACCAGTTCCACCAAAACCATAAACAAAAAAAAGTCCACCTCTTTTCTCTGTAACTGCATCAATAATCTCCTCATAAATATTTTTCTGTTCATCCGTTATCTTCAAAAAATCCCTATCATGCTCTTCCCTTAACTCCTCACGGTCATAACTCAACTCATCAGTAATCATAACATTTTGTAAATCAGCAGCATCGAGTAAGGGCTTTGGCTTTTTTTTCCCAATTTGATAGAGAAGTTCCATTACTCTTCAAAAAAATTTCAATCTCCAACAGAGCTCCTTCTTTTTTGTTAGCATCGCTTAAATATAAATCTGTAGTGAAACATTGTATGGAAATTTTGAGATAAGTAAATTATCTAACTTGTTATCTTGATTAAAAAATAAAGTATTAGATAGATAAATAACCTGGTCTGTTCAGCGGTTTTCTTATTCTATACTCAATGTCATCTGAAAGAAACTCCCATGTCTTTTCCCAAACTTTTTTTGGCATTGATAAAGTCATGGACATAAGCATAACAGCAAATACATGTCGCAGAGAGGATGCAGAACTCGTGTAACTTGACCTGATTATATCATCAATGTATTCTTGGTCATCTTCTAATAAACCACGAGCATAACAACATTCTTTGAACGAAGGATATAGGACATTCTCGAAAGTCCTTATATCTTCAAAACTGGTTGGTCCACGAACTATATTCAGCAACACACACAGATAATATGCTTCCTCAAACTTCTTGGGTGCATAGTTAATTCTCCCAAGGGAGAAACCTCTTTTTCGTTCTTGTAATATTCTTTCCTTTTTGTTCCAAATAAACCTTGTAGGAATTTCAGCTAAAGTTAGCTTTCTAGCAACCTCAGTAACCTTGTTCAACTCAAACCATGCCGTGATATAGGTATTCTGAATCAGCACCCGACTTGTGACTTCATCATATGTGTCGTCATCCTTAAAAATTATAATCTGCTTTCCTGGCAAATTAAATTGTATCTTCTCAACAGGCACCGATCTGTAATGAATAGGAAACTTAAGAGTTCTCCATGCAGATACATATCTGAAAAAATATCAGTGTAGAAGATCGTATTAAATAGTTAGCCGGCTGGTCAGAGCACAATGAATTAAAATCAAACGAAATTTAAAATCGCTCATGTAAACATATGTATCTGCCATCGAAATAATCTTTGATTTCATTTTTTTTTCTTGGTCTCCATTTTGATCTCCTTCTTTCTACGGTGCAACAGTAACCGTAATACGATCATGTCCCTTGTTGATATACTTGAATAAGTATTTGATAGATCCCGACTGATTGACCACTCAATATTAATATGAACTCTGAACATAAGAGAAAGAGTTTTGTTATATGGTATAACATATCTATTATCGCATTTGAAACCTTTCTTCTCAACATAATGACCATTAAAACTCGTACTGAGCTCATGTTATTTCGTATAACCAGCAGGGCATGCATTTGAAAAAAAAAAAGAAGAAAGCGTTTCAGAAGCATCTCCACAGTGGAATTCTTTTCGAAACTGTTTTCTTTAGTATCCCCTTTTTCATGATTTTTTAAAATTTGTTCTAAACCTACCTTTAAGGCTATCTAACATCGCCTCAAAAAGGAAACAATATATCATAAACTTTGTTGGGTTCCTCATCTTGGTGTTGAGTACTTCTTTTGCTTGTTCGATTTTAAGAGAGTAAAGCATGTGCAACTGTTGCTTCACTGAGTTAATTTGAACCGGACAATACCTTTGTTCCGACAAGAGTATTTGATTGGCAATGTGACCACTTTGAACTTTATGCAACTGGATTTTCCAAAGTGAACTAAAAAAATGTTTATTTCGGATATCAAAACTGTATACACAGATTCTATGTTTGTTTAATTCGATTTATTCCTTGTTTCAGTCGCCATCAATTATTGGTTTTTTTATAGCACTTACCTAATCTTATAGAGTTATCGAGGTTAATAATGATTATAAAGTATGAAGAATAATTTAATTAGATATTGGTGGACACATCTGAGATCTGGCATTGCTGTTGGGTTTGACTCACCCTTTTCCATTAATAAACTCCATCTGAAAGGAATGTAGATAGATCTTGGGCACAACATTCTAAAACCAAAGTCGTCATCACCGATCCATCTGAACTAAATAAAGAGCTAATTAAAGCAAAGTGTCAAGCCCTCTCTTACCTTATTAATAAAAGAAGCCAAAAATGCAGGACGTGTGCAACTGCTCTCTCTCTCGGATCTACACGGAATCAAACAGACTCCCATCACGACGTGCCTCCACGTGTCCTTTCTTCTATCCCTTTCCTTCTCCTTCAAATCATTATCACCTAAAAATAACAAAATACTAATTATTTATTAGATTTCTAATAATAAAAAAAAAAAAAGAACTTTCAAAATCCAATCTCTCTGTTTCCGCAACAGCAACAACAAACCCGAGCCCGCCCTGTTGGTTTAGGGCTCTCGTTTATTGTTAGCCATGGCGGAGAAAGTATCAGACGACGTGATGCTTCTACACGGCGACCTCGATCTCAAAATCGTCCAGGCGAGGAGGTTGCCTAACATGGACTTATTCTCCGATCGCATGCGCCGTTGCTTCACCGCCTGCAACTCATGCGCAAAGCCTCCAGAAGACGACGAAGATCCACGAGACAGAGCGGGAGGCGATCGCAACATCCGCGGCCACCGTAAGGTCATCACCAGCGACCCTTACGTAACCGTCGTCGTCCCTCAAGCGACTCTCGCCCGCACGCGCGTATTGAAAAACTGCCAGGATCCTCTCTGGGACGAGCATTTCAACATCTCCGTGGCTCACCCCCTCTCCCACCTCGAGTTCCAGGTCAAAGACGACGACGTATTCGGCGCGCAGATCATCGGCTCCGCGAAGATCCCCGTCCACCAGATCGCGTCTGGGGAACGCATCTCCGGGTGGTTCCCCGTCCTCGGCGCGTCGGGGAAGCCGCCGAAGAAGGAGACGGCTCTCTACGTCGACATGAAATTCACTCCGTTTCATCAGATCGAGAGTTACATGAAGGGAATCGCTGGAGATCCGGAGCGTAAAGGTGTGAAACGGACTTATTTCCCTGTGAGGAAGGGGAGTAAGGTGAGGCTTTACCAAGACGCTCACGTGATGGACGGGACGTTGCCGGAGATTGGATTGGATAACGGAAAGGTTTATAAGCACGGGAAGTGTTGGGAAGATATTTGTTATGCAGTCTCTGAGGCTCATCATATGATTTATATTGTTGGATGGTCTGTTTTCCATAAGGTGAAGCTTGTTAGGGAACCTACGAGGAAGTTACCTAGAGGTGGTGATTTGACGCTTGGTGAGTTGTTGAAATATAAATCTGAAGAAGGTGTTCGAGTTTTGTTGCTTGTTTGGGATGATAAGACTTCTCATGATAAGTTTGGGATAAGCACGGTGAGTATATACAAGTATATTGGTGAAGGTTGCTAATTTTGAGCTTTATTAAAATGTTGTTATGGCATTTTTTTGTGTGCAGCCTGGAGTTATGGGGACGCATGATGAAGAGACTAGGAAGTTTTTTAAGCATTCTTCCGTGATATGTGTATTGGCACCCCGTTATGCTAGTAGTAAGCTTGGGTTGTTCAAACAACAGGCAAGTCTTAGCTCTTCAAAATCTATGTTCATGATAGTTTGGTGTTGTTGATTGTAGAGTTGGGATTAGTAAATGTGTATTTCATTGACCCTAATAAGTGTTGGACATTCTATCAACATATTATGGCTTTGATGGACTTTTCTTTAATATCATTTAGGTTTGATTCTATTGTTGAATTTCCAGGTTGTTGGCACTCTCTTCACGCACCATCAAAAGTGTGTTCTTGTAGATACACAAGCTGTTGGTAATAATCGCAAAGTCACAGCTTTTATTGGAGGTATTGACCTTTGTGACGGCCGCTATGACACACCAGAGCACCGGATATTACACGATCTTGACACTGTGTTCAAGGATGATTTTCACAATCCTACATTTCCAGTGAGTATATGATTTACTTGCTAGTTGTTTTTAAGCTAGAATTTCGTACTGACTGCTGATTTGGATTCTTTACTTCCTCAGACTGCTACCAAGGCTCCAAGACAACCGTGGCACGATTTGCACTGTAGGCTAGATGGCCCTGCGGCGTATGATGTTCTCATAAACTTTGAGCAGCGGTGGAGAAAAGCGACGCGATGGAAGGAGTTTAGCTTACGTTTAAAGGGGAAAACTCACTGGCAAGATGATGCTTTGATCCGGATAGGACGTATATCATGGATACTAAGTCCAGTGTTTAAGTATCTGAAGGATGGTACCTCAATTGTTCCAGAGGACGATCCAGTTGTTTATGTTTCCAAAGAAGATGATCCAGAGAATTGGCATGCTCAGGTATTTAAAAATGTCTTCCAACTAATACTTCTCATTTAATGAAGTACTATGAAGATTTGATTCAACCATGCGGCGTCTTTGACTTCCAGATATTCCGTTCAATCGACTCAGGATCCGTGAAAGGATTTCCGAAATATGAAGATGAGGCTGAGGCTCAGGTTAGTAGATTAAGTTATTCAAGTAATGTTTATAAGCGATTGTTATAATATGAATTGCACTACATAATTTTTTCTGCAGAATCTGGAATGTTCCAAGCGTCTTGTAGTAGATAAAAGCATCCAGACTGCATACATCCAGACAATCAGATCTGCTCAGCATTTCATATATATCGAGAATCAGTATTTCCTTGGTTCTTCTTATGCTTGGCCTAATTATAAAGATGCAGGTACGTCTTGATCTTCGAGGACAGTTCTCAGACTAGGAACTCAAATACTCACTTTGCATAAGCTATAGTCTTGACTTGTTCGCAACTGCGAGGAAAGTGAAGGAAACCTTTTCGCCTTTGAATTTTCTGATCTTTTGTATTTCTTGAATCAGGAGCCGACAATCTTATCCCTATGGAGTTGGCATTAAAGATTGTTAGTAAAATCAGAGCTAAAGAAAGATTTTCTGTATATGTCGTCATACCATTGTGGCCTGAAGGTGACCCAAAATCTGGACCTGTGCAAGAAATTCTATATTGGCAGGTAAGACTTTTATGTTAGTGTAAGGTTTTCACAGATACTAAATTAGATTCGTCCATTTCTTCTAAAATCATCTTCGTTTCCAGAGCCAAACTATGCAGACGATGTATGATGTTATAGCGCGAGAACTGAAATCGGTGAAGTCAGATGCTCATCCTCTCGATTACCTTAACTTTTACTGCCTTGGTAAACGAGAGCAACTTCCAGAGAATATGCCAGCCACAAATGGCAGTGCGGTATGATATTCATTACCGAGAACTGCTTCATTCAGAGAGAGATGAGGAACCATTATCATATATACACTTTCCAGTAGAACAAATTACTTATGATCTTTGTGACTGCGTTTTCAGGTATCGGATTCGTATAAGTTCAAGCGTTTTATGATCTATGTGCACGCGAAGGGGATGATAGTAGATGATGAGTATGTACTCATGGGATCTGCTAATATCAACCAAAGATCAATGGCCGGCACAAAAGATACCGAAATAGCCATGGGTGCATATCAACCCCATCATACATGGACTAACAAGGGAAGACACCCACGTGGCCAGGTATTCCTCGTTCCCTATCATCATCTATACTATACCATAGCAAACCCTCAAAAATGGCTCTATTTCGGTAGAGAATCTATATCAGATCTACATGGGGAAAGTTTCAAATCTTGAATCCTAAATTAAAAAAAAAGAGTAAAGAAAAGAAAAGTTAGGTTGAGATATGCTAGAGAAGTTGTGTTTCTGGTGGTTGTAAACATGTATAGAAACTCGAATCTGCTTGGAAGAATAATAACATATTAACTGAGAGGTGTGTTGATATCTCTCTATCCACAGGTGTATGGATACAGAATGTCACTATGGGCAGAGCATCTAGGCAAAACAGGAGATGAGTTTGTGGAGCCTGCTGATCTAGAATGCGTGAAGAAGGTGAACGAAATCGCTGAAGGAAACTGGAAAAAATTCATAAATTCAGAATTCTCAGAGCTGCAAGGTCACTTGATTAAATATCCACTACAAGTAGACAAAGATGGTAAAGTGAGCTCACTTCCAGATTACGAAAGCTTCCCAGATGTTGGTGGTAAGATCATTGGAGCTCATTCAATGGCTCTCCCTGATACTCTAACCACGTAAAATCCTGAAGAAAAAGAAGGTGAGAGAGAGTGTGTTGTGTGATTTGTGTACATTTAACTGTGTTGTTTTGTTTATTCTTTTTTTTTTTGTGATTTGTCTTCAAACTGTAATTGTTTGGGGTGCAAAAAGTAGAGTGAGTGTTGGATTGTGGAGGCAAATCTCAATTACGTAAGGATGCTCTGTGTTACTTCTTTTCTCAATTTATAAAAATAACTGTAATATAATTTTAGATATGTAATTAGAGGTTCCTGTTCGGTTCTATTAAACACAAAAGTGACAAAACCTAAGATTCAACAACAGATCTACGTTTTAATTCTGTTTCAAGTCGAACTAAAATGAAACGATGATTAAACCGAACCGAGTAAATGAAAATTGCGGTAGACCAAAAATTAAAAACCGGGAGTGGGTTATATCGAATGCACACAGAAAGAAACGTGAGACTTGCCACATAGAATTAATACTGGCGTAATAAAATTTGTTTTAATTCATCTGTAGACGAAGGAGAGAAACTGATTTAGCTTTACAGTAAAAAAAAACAAAAAAAACCCTAACTCTCTCCGACCTGAGAGTTGTCTGCTCGTTTCTTCGCAATGGTAAGCTTAGAGTATATCCTCTATCTTCTTCTTCGTCTTCGTTTGATATATGTCTGATGAAATTTGAGGTGCTTTTTTTCGTTTTTGCAGGCGGATTCTCCTCGAGAAGAAAGGTTAGAGATTCAAAGTTTATTTTTGCTTCTTAGCATTTATTCATGGTGTAAAGTACAATAATATTTATCTTCCTACAATGTTGAATTGCATTTACACTTACGTAAGGATGTGAATCTGAAGAATAGATTTGCGAATGTTGTTGACCTGTTAAAAAAAGATCTTAATTTCCTTTTCCTCTGTAGTTGAATCTTATGTTGTTGAGCTAAGCCTAAACGTTCCGTTTTTCCAAGTAATAAGTCTTCAATGAGACAATGTTACAGATAAAACACCATGTCTTGTAAACGTTTGTGTAATACTTTTGCCTTGAAACAGAGATTCACGATCTCCTTCCCCCCGAAAACAACGGTCCCTTTCCAGATCCAGGTCCAGGTCCAGATCCATGCCGAGGGCTAGGTCTAGGTCTAGGTCTAGGTCAAGATCTTTGCCAAGGCCTATATCTCCATCAAGGAGACGTGGAAGGTTAGCTCTAGCTTTCTATGTCTCCATTGTTTGTCTAGTCTGTGATTGGATTGTTGGTGTTTCTAAATCTTTTCTTTTTCATTACCTGAAAAGGTCTGATAGGTCTGAAGTTGAGAACCCTGGTACTACTCTCTATGTGACTGGCCTATCCACAAGAGTCACTGACAAGGATCTTGAAGCTCATTTCTCCAAGGAAGGCAAGGTGTGATAAACATATCTAACCCCTGATTCTCCTTACTCATTAATCTGTTTTGTCTTTGCATTTTCTTTAGCATACAGTCTTTTAATCATGTGTTTAACTAATTTGATTGCCACAGGTAGCTTCTTGCTTTCTTGTAATTGAGCCGCGCACCCGTGAGTCTCGTGGTTTTGCCTTTGTTACTATGGATACCGTTAAAGACGCTGAACGTTGCATCAAGTATCTCAACCAATCTGTACTTGAAGGCCGTTACATCACTGTCGAAAGGGTAAGAAAATCTTTATGCTTTTGGTGGAAATATGTCAAAGTTTGATTGTTTAACTTGGAGGTTTTCTGACCATTCAGAAAAGATATTGCATCAAGCTAGTGTTGGCAACAATCAGAGATGATACTTCTCATCATTAAGTGAACACACAGCTTGATCATTCCAAATGATCTGATCCAACTAATCAACTTATTGCTTCAACTATCAACTAATCAAAGGACATTTATCAAGTATCAACAACTATTAGTCAAGTGTTTCTTCAGGCCTAGGATGCATCTTGTTTTGTTTACTTGAGGTTTATGTACTTTGTGTTATCTCCAGTCCCGAAGAAAGCGTCCTAGAACTCCAACCCCAGGCCACTATCTTGGCTTGAAAAGCTCCAGAGACGATGGTAAGTGAACAATATTAAAATTTATTGATCCCCTTAACAAAGGAAAAGGTTACTAACTACTCTCTGTACTCTTTTCTTTTTGTGCTGTGGAATAAAAGACCGAGATAGCCGTAGCAGTCGAGGGAGGCACTATGATCGTGATGATTATGGACACCGTAGGTCACCAAGACGCGACTATTCACCTCGTGGTGGTGGAAGGAGGTCACCAAGACGTGGCTATTCACCTCGTGGTGGAAGAAGTTCCAGAAGAGATCGGTCTTACTCTCCTTATGGAAGAAGTCCAGAGAGAAGATCCGAGAGAAGGTATTAACCCCGTGGCTCGCTCGAGATGACCTGTTTAGCTCTCTTGACTAAAACTTCAGTGTTGATTTAGGTTGTGTGATTGATTGTCATCTTTAAAGTTTTACATTGATTCTGTTTGAGGACAACTATGGTTCTATGTGTCTTTTATGTTTTATGTATGCTGCAGAACAAAGTGAAACTTGCAATGTAATAGCTTAGCTATGCTACTTTTGTTTTTGAGTGAATCAGAATCTCCTATGTGATCATAAGCTTGTGATTATTTGAAACAAAATGGTAAGAGATACAAATGTAAAGCTTGAAACTATCAAACTCAAAAACACAAGCAATGAGCACAGACAACAGAAAGTTTTCAAAATCGAATATATGTACGTGTTTGTTTTATTTTTACTTGGTAATAATAAAAACACAAAAAAAAAACCTGATAATCAAGAGTTAGCGTATTTGTGCCAGCAAAGTAACATAAGAATACATCTCCTGGCGATGTAAAACCTAGAACGCCTTTCATTCACCATCGCTAAACATCCTCTACTCTTTTCCGCTGAAGATTCTCTGTAACCTTCTTCTTCTTCCCTTCTCCTCTTTCTCCTCATCTTTGTCGTCGATGAACATTGGCCCATGTCTGTTCTTCTCTTCTCTTATTGACTTGCCTTTCTTCACACACTTTTTATGCAAAATAAAAATGAAGGAAAAAAAATGAGGAAGCAAAATGAAAGAAACCAAAAGAGTGGAGAGGAAAATAAATAAAATGATAAAAAGACTATAAATAGAAGAGTGGTGGAGCAATGATGATACGATTAAACGTCGTAAACCTCTCTTTTAAATTTCACACGTATCCTCCTACTCCTACAAACCCCATTAGTTCCCTTTGCTTGTGAGATAATGGGATAGATAATTCCACTCTACGATTTGTCATTGTTTACTAATGGTGGAATCATTGTCATTGTGTACTTTGACATAAATAAAATATACTATAAACATCTCGTATGCTAAAATATCAAATGTTCTTGCATATAGACATTGTGATGTTATATCAGTTACCACTGTCATCGTGGATAAATCATATACAATGCAAGGAAAGGTTTTTCTTTTTTTTTTGGTTAAAGGAAAGGTTTGAAAGTTATCATGTAATGAATAAAAAAACAGAACATGTTATATATAATTTCTCGTTATTAATTCACTGAAACTTTTTTGCGGATTCGAATCATTCGATCAACCTATTAAAAACTCGTCTCAGGTGGTTTTGTATGTAATCATATAATAAGGTGTAATTAATGACAGTACTTTGTCCGCATCTCACGGTCATCAATTAATTTCTTAAGCTCATCGACCGGTAGTTTTATTATTTTTCTTAGCGTACTAGCAACCGATCTCTTGAACGGCGTCGTCACAGGCGCAGCAAAACGTCAGCATGAACTGGTGGAAGAGAATAAAGTACCTGGAGGAAGAAAAATCAGTGACCAATCATTGATAGTATTGATTGGTTTTTGCCACGTCGTTACACTTCCTTTGACAGCTGTGTAAATATTCCTCCATTCTTGTTCTTTTCTTAGACATAAATAAATACTATTATTTCATATTCCCTCCGTTTCATATTAAGTGTCGTTGTAGAGAATTTTTTGCGTTACAAAATAAGTGTCGTTTTCGGTTTTCAATGCAAAATTTATTAATTTTATTATGTAATTTATTTTTCTATTGGTTAAAATATGGTTAGGTGTATGAGTAACTGTGTTTTTATATAGGAAATATGTAAAATTAATTATTTTCTTAATCCGTGTGCACAGCTGTAGAGTGACACTTATAATGAAACAGAGAGAGTATTTCTTTAGCGTTGATTGATCGGATAAACTTTCTATTCATATGTATGATATACACTCTGTGATTTTAATTACCAAACCGAGATAAGGATAATGGTCATATGATTCCTTCACATTTCTTTTTGTCGTGCTCGTGTCATTAAACTTTATACCTTAATTTGTATATTTAGACTAGTTGGCTAGTTGGGCACACCAAGCCAATATGGGGCCTAACAAATATCTTTGAGAAAGAATCACTGAGAGGCTATGAGAATGTGTTCCAAGGTGAAACTTTCATCAATTGGTAGTAGTGCCAGTTTATATACATAAACACTTAATGTTGAGGAAAATTTACATTTCTTTATTTGCAATTTACAAACGGATAGATTCATGGTTGTTTTCACTCTACTGGTAGTTCATTCTCCGTCCAGGCAACGTATCCTCCAGCTATGTCTGTGACCCCTGTGAAACCCTGTGCACACACACACAAGGCAGCATTAAAACCGCTTTCTCTGTTTTAACAAATACTATCAAAAATAAATGAATCACACTTACAGCAGTGAGAAGTTCAGTTGAAGCCATGAGAGATCTTTCCCCGCTCTCACAACCCTGCAATTATTAAAGGTGTTATAAAATGAGTTTGTGTTCACTAGAGAATTTTGCCCAAACTTAGAACTTACGATGATGATCTCGTCGTGTTTCCTAAAGTGAGACGAGACCTGCCTTAAAAAACTCGGGTTCTTGACCATTCCTGCAACATTTTTTTAAGCTTTGGTATTAATTTCAACCTTTTTTTTGGTATGGAGTAAACCAAAGATCGGTTAATGAAGAAGAAACCTGATCCGACTCTGTACATGTAAGGCACGTTAATAGCACTAGACGGATGTCCGATACTGAACTCATCTGGTGTCCTCACGTCAAGATATTTGTATCCTGCTTGAGCTAGCTCACGCGCAACTCTCACAGGTACTGATGTCGGAACTCTAGCTGCTGCTTCCGCTGCAACATTTGCTCTGCCTGTTGTTGTTACTTTCCTCCTTCAACAAAACAGTTTAATAAATAACTTTCATTAATTTCCTCTAGTTAACGCTAAGAGAGATTCCAAAACGTTAGCTAACCATCGGAAGTTTGAGTTTGGAAGATCAGCAGCAACGACAGCTCTTCTTGTTGCGGTTGGTAGCTTCCACTTGAAAGATCTACACACTTCTAGAGGTGGAGATATAGCCGATGACCAGCTTCTGATTCGTGTGGTTGTGTTTAAAGTAGATTCCATTTTTTCTTCTTTTGTGTTCGTAGATACTTTGAGTTGTATTACTCCTCGTGCATGATATATATAAGGGAAAATTCCATAAAAATGCCCCAACTAACTTTTGTTAAGCTTTTTAATATCCAAACTTTTTAGCTACTCATTTTAATACCCCAACTAATTATTTTGTCCATTTTAATACACAAATTTTTATAGATGTGTCCAATTTAATATCCAAATTTTTTTATTTTAATCAACAATACTAATAAGTTTCAAATGAAATTAAAAAAATCTCTAAAATCTAAGAAACAATATTAATAATTTCTGATTTACTTGAAGATTTTAGAAAGAAGGTAAATAAACTCTCGATAAGGTTTAAAAGTTTTTAAAAATTAATTTTAAAGGTAAAATAATTGATTAATTTTTTTTTAGAAAAAAATAAAATTCAATATTTAAAACTTAAATATTTACTACAAAATTTAAGATTATAAAAAAAATTATTTATTTTATTTCTCAAACACAAAATAGAATTAGAACTTTCTGTAACGTTCATAGATTTTTAAAATTTCACTGGAAACTTATTAGTAGTTTTAATTAAAATAAATAAAGTCTGGGTATTAATCTGGATACAATTATAAAAATAGGTGTATTAAAATGAGCAAAATAATTAGTTGAAGTATTAAATTGGGTAGCGAAAAAGTTTAAGTATTATAAAGCTTAATGAAATTTGGTTGGAATATTTTTGTGGAATTTTCCCTATATATAAAGACACAAAGCAGAAGGATATGGAACTAGTGACACGTCAGCCAGTTCTAGAAGATTTATCTGAGTCCAACATGTAAGCCATGCGGAGAAGGAAGGAATGGATCATGATAAGTCCAACTCGGTTGCCTCGTAAGTCGTCATATGGATAACTTGCTGACTCGGATTAGATAGTGCTGCACGTTTCTTAATAGGCCCAATACTAAATATTAGATGGGCCTAAGGCCCAATGTTGAAACGGAAGAGAAGGTGAAGTAAGGGAAGCGTTTTGATGATGGTGGATTAGCGATTGTTCGACGACGACGATGATGGCGAGGTTTATCCCTGTGTCGTCTTGTCAGTTACGTTTCGGCTTCCGTGAGCTTTCTCCTTCGTCGTCGACTCTTTCTCCGAGACGGTTTGAGGTAAAATCTCGTTTCATTTTCTTCTGTGATGGTAGTGTGATTGGTTAATTGATGAAATCAGATGTTCTTAATTAGGTATCTCACCGGAGATTCCCGATCAAATGCTCGTCGTCTGAGCCGGAAGATGGTGTGGAGACTGCGCCGTCGCTTTCTTCCTCTTCATCGTCGTCAACAAGTGAAGTATCTATTAACAGTTCGACGTACAAGTGGTTCACTGTACTCGGCGGTATCGGAATGTTAGACACCGCGTATTTAACCTACCTAAAACTCACTGGATCCGATGCTTTTTGCCCCGTTGGTGGTGGTACTTGTGGCGATGTCTTGAACAGTGATTATGCCCTTGTTTTTGGTACTATACATCGCTTTAGTGTGATTAATGTTTAGTCATGAGTCTAGACTAACCTGGAAACATGTATGTAGCTTAATTCAAGATCTCCTGAAGTAGGTATTTGATCTCATAGGCAAAATTAGATCCTGATTGAATAACTCTCATGTGATAATCTTGAATCTGTGCTATGAGCTATGACATTGAATAGCATGCTTCACTCCACTCCATGTTTTGTAGTATGTACTATGTAGGCTTTATCTTGTTGACTGGAATTGTCCTACATTACAGTGCACATATAATGTGTTTGAAAGCTGATCTCAGTGGCCAATTCTTTTGCATTTTTTCCAGGTGTTCCTCTGCCAGTGATTGGGTTTGCTACGTATGGCTTAGTAACAGCTTTAAGTGCACAGCTTGGGGAAGGGGATTTACCCTTTGGAGTCAGTAAGACCAATGGGCGTTTTGCGTTATTTGCGGCCACAACTACAATGGCATCTGCTAGTGCCTACTTCCTGTATATCCTTAGCACAAAACTCTCAGGATCATCGTGCCTGTATTGTCTAGTGTCTGCTTTCCTATCGTTTTCTCTATTTATCCTCACTTTAAAGGTATCCCTTTATATCTACATTTTGTGTCAATTGTGAAGATGAGATCTTAAGTTAGGATTACTTTTATGTATTCCATGCTTGTGGTAGGATGTGAAGTTGCAAGAGATACAGCAAGTTGTAGGATTGCAGATATGCTTGGCACTCATAGTAGTTGCCTCCTTGACTGCTTCATATAGTACTGCTCAACCAGTCCTTTCAAGGTAGGCTAAGTTCATGGTTTTCTTTTTGGAGTCCGATGGCTTCTTTTAACCTTTTCTGACAAGTAGTAACAAATAGCTGCCGAGGATCAATGAGTCAAATCAAGTCGTTTCTCTTGATCCCAATATATGTCTTTTGTTTTCACTCCTTGCAGATCAGGTGACATTGAGCTGCCATATTATTCAACAGAGATCACTACATCATCGAGCCCTTATGCTATTGCTTTAGCAAAACATCTAAACTCAATTGGAGCTAAAATGTATGGAGCATTCTGGTGTTCTCACTGCTTAGAGCAAAAAGAGGTACCTATCTCATTCATTTGCAAGAAATCAGTATCACGGATTTATCATGTAACATTTGCAAGTTCCCTCCATCTATAGATGTTTGGAAGAGAAGCGGCAAAACTACTGAATTACGTGGAGTGTTTTCCCGAAGGCTATAAGAAAGGAACTAAGATATTCAAGGCATGTTCAGATGTTGGGATCGAAGGATTCCCGACATGGATGATAAATGGTCAGGTGAGTATATCCTTTGAATCCGTGGTACGTTTTTCATCACAAATTCGGTTCATATTTCACCTCTTACATTGTTTAGGTCTTAAGCGGAGAAGTAGAACTCGCTGAACTAGCGGAGATGTCTGGATTCAGCCTTGATCAGGCAACTGAGGCCAAACAACTTCAGTAAAATGTGTATAGTTGCAAATTTTTTGGTGAATGCTCTTTTATTGATGCCGATAGTTATAGGATGCTCTGTGCCAATGCAAGTGATTATTATTGCCACAGGAGGCTATAACTCCATGATCTATCTCTTAGACATCACCAGAGAATCACACTGTCATATAAAGATTATTAGGTTCCACAACTAGTTAGGTTCTACTAGTAATCCGAGAACCTGCAGTCATCTAGTAATGTCTTTTTGGTATAAGCCTAGAAGGGGGGTTTATATGTAAGAGTCACACATGCATGTATCTTCTATATGCATAATGATATATGCGTGTAGATATAATACATACACACATGAATGTAAAATGGTGTAATGCTTCCAAGTGAGATTAAGAGCACACATGTATGTATGTATGTTGTATAACATAATGAATTATATTTATATATGCGTGTAGATACATGTTCCGTGGCTGATACATGCCCGTTGGATAGGCAATATAGATAGAATTCTATTTCTCCTTCTCTAAAGATTTAAATATTGGATAGATACGAACATCCAGATATTTATTACAATATTGCTAATAATTGGGCTTGGTTTTGTTCAACAGATGAGCCAAAACCTAATCTTATCCAAACCTCTAATGATGTGACGAGGCGTAACGTAAAGTAACGGCCGCGCGGGAAAAGAGTAATAAAAAAAGCAATAGCCGTTAGATGTAGAGAGAATGGAGGGGCCAGATTAGTTACTTATCAAGAAAGCTCGAAAAAGGGCAAAACAGGCAATGAGTGTTGGACCCACGAAAGAGGTGAGAAAGATCACGTTAAAAAGGAAGATGCTATAGAATATTCGAAATAGCACGTCGTTTCTCACATTAAACCCCTCCAATAAATACACATTTCTAGTTTTCGCCCTTTGAAATCTCTTTAAAATCCATCAGTTCATCACCCTTCACTCGCCGCACTTCAACTGATTTTTCAAGATGACCACTCAGATTTCGGAGATTGAGCAAGAGCAGCTTATTGAGAAGCTTGAGATCTTCAAGATCCATGGCAGAGACAAACGCGGCCGTAAGATCCTTCGTATTATCGGCAAATTCTTTCCAGGTTTGGATCTGTTTCTATTTTTTTAATCTTAAATTTCATCTGCTTTCTTTCATCTAAATTTGAAAATTTCTCGAATCAGCTCGGTTTCTATCACTGGATGTGTTGAACAAGTATCTAGAAGAGAAGATCTTTCCTCGATTAGGGAGAAAACCGTTCGCCGTCCTCTACGTTCACACCGGCGTGCAGAGAAGCGAGAATTTCCCGGGAATCTCAGCTTTACGAGCGATCTACGACGCGATTCCTGTAAACGTCAGAGACAATCTCCAGGAGGTTTACTTCCTCCACCCAGGCCTCCAGTCCCGTCTCTTCCTCGCCACTTGCGGCAGATTTCTCTTCTCCGGCGGGTGAGTTGTCACCGCCGCGCGTATTTTTGGATCTTCAAATTGATTTGCATACTGATTGGTTTTTGGTGTGTTGATTGGCTACGGTAGGTTGTACGGGAAGCTAAGGTACATAAGCAGAGTTGACTACTTGTGGGAACACGTGAGGAGGAACGAGATAGAGATTCCGGAGTTTGTGTACGATCACGACGACGATCTAGAGTACCGTCCGATGATGGATTACGGTCAAGAGAGCGATCACGCTAGGGTTTACGCCGGAGCCGCCGTTGATTCATCAGTTTCCAGTTTCTCCATGAGGTGTATCTCTTAGCGTATAGAATACACCTACCAGATCCTACGGTCGTATCTTTTAAACCATATAATATATACGATTAAAATATCTAAAAGTCACGAATAGATGTGTGCTTCTCGCAGCCAGTGAGCGGTTTTTACGGAAAAAAAGAAAGAAAGCTGTTGGCGTGTTTGGATAAGGAAAGGTTGAGAATCTTTAGATTTTTTTTTTCTTAAACCTGTTCTTTTCTGTTTTAAATAGTTTTCAATGTTTCTTTGGAGAAGATTGTAGATCTTTTGTTTAGTGGTAGTCGTTGTGTGTCGATGTCGAAAATCTTGTGTATATGTTAATGTAAACATTAGTTGAAAAAACAAAAATATATGTCAGTGTCACCACTTATTTTATCAGGTGTTATAAAATATCTCCAACAACATTCTCACAGTAAAATTAGGATTGAACATATGGAAACAACTGTCCGTGAGAAGACTTCACCATCTTAGTACCATCGACACTTTAACATAGTTTTTATCTTCCACGTCTGTAAAATAGATAGAATTCTCCAAACATCCATAATATTCACCAGCCAAGGCATAATCTGCTATATACCACTTATGACCAAAATCAATTCTAAATGTTGTTACCAAAAAAAAAATACAAAAAGAAAATGTTTTGGTTAGTTGTGAGTTTCTTTCACAAACAAAAGGTGTGCCTTTGTTTAGTAGAGGTAATTCTATTGATTATGCTGTACATGAGGGTTTCTATGAATACTCCAGATTCTTTGTTCTTGAGATAAGATTTGCATAAGTAGAGAATAACAAGGAATCAAGTCTAAAATATCAAATTCTGTTTTCCAAAAGCGAGTAGCGTTATTGAGACAACAAAAAGGTAATGCTCCTTTCTTTTTCATACACAAACCACCAACCAATGTAGTAAAAAACACAATACTTGCATAAATCCCCCCATACGTGATTTTCTTTCTATTTATATAGTAAACGAAGTTCCCCAGCTTCAGAACAATGGCCCTTTACTCTGTCTGATAGCATCAAAACGCGCAGCCAACTCATCATAATCAGGCAGTTTTGGGTGAACTTGGTGACCACTTGAGTCTCTTCTCGACTCAGAGGACTGAGGAGCCTGAGGTGGTGCTCGGTTTGGCGGGAGGGAATAAGCACGACTCCGTAAGGGTCCTTCTTCTGGCTCAGTGTCATCCTCGTAGTAGTCAGACTCATCAAACTTGACCTCAGAAGTCGCTGGAGGAGGAAGTGTGTGTCTCCTCCTCATTGTTTCCTTTGCTTCGGTTTTGGCATAGTCTTCTTCATTTATACCTGGATTGTTGCAGCTGTGTCTTCTGTTTTCTACCGAAGGTTTAGAGTAGTAGGAGCTTGTTTCAGATTGTCTTCTTGTTGGATGATCCAAAGACGAGGAGGAGGATACAGAGAACTCCTTGTTGCTGTCTCTTCTGTTAGCTAACAAGGCTGCTACTTGAGCTGCTGCAACCGCCTGCTTAGCTAATTCAGCTGCTGCTTCAGCTGCTGACTCCGGGTCATGATAATGCGTGTTCATGCTCATGCTACTAGTCGATCTAAATGAACAAAACACAACATAAGGACTTCATTTTCTGAACATTGTTGAAACAAAAAAGATATGTACCTTGGCACTGCTTTGGTAGGATCAATGGGCTCGTCAGAAGCTCGGTTTACAGGTAAGCTTGATGCGCTAACAAAGGCACGTGGCCCATCCTGTTCATACAAAAGCATCACATGTTTTAAGATTAAGAAAATGAAAGAAGAAAAATGAGAGATTAAGAGAAGACAAATACAATGGTTTCTTCTTGAGGTTTGAGAAGTTCTTGCTCAGTCTCTTTAGTGTCCCAATCAACCTGGAACTCCTTTGCAATCTCCTTCATGATTTTCAGTTTGAATTCTCCACCAGGATGCCTAACCGAAAGCTTATCAATCAACTACAAACACACACAAGAGTCAAAGGTAAACAGAGACCATCATCATGTTTATTGTTAAGTAATCTCTATTGTGTCTTACCATCCGGTTAACGCCACAGGTAGGACGCAACTCAGTAGCAGCAGTCACAAAATCTCTACCATATTTCTTCTCAAAGATGTCTTTCAGATCTCCAAGCTCAGGTATCTCAGCGCATCTAGGCGCAGCGAATATCAAACTAGCAATCCCTTCCTTAAGATCCACAGGACATCCCCTAAAAGAAACCCAAAACACACACATATGAGAGAGAACCCAAATCTAGGTAAAGACACAAACTTGAAACTGAATATGAACAGTACTTTTGCTTTGTGATAATAGTAAGTCGAGAAACGATGAGTTCACAAAAAAGCTCAATGATTTCGTTAGCCGCCATGATGTTCTGCTCCCTAATCACATGCTCAACCTGAATTGTCATTGAGTTTGAGTCATAAAAGTCCAGAGCTTTGGGTTCTTTTTCAGACAAGAGAAAGAGAAATACTCTGATTCGAGCGGTGGCATCTTGACCAGACTGAAGAAGAAGGGCAATGTCACGTCTCATTTGCTTAACCACAACTTGTCTCTTGTTCCTCAGAAGCTTTATTCTAGCTACAGCCATCTTCGCCGCTGTTTTGCTTTTTTTTTTCCGACCAAAGAGAAAAAAAAAAAGATTCATCAGATCTTGCTTTTTTATGTAAAGAATCTAAGAATGACACTCAAAGATCTAAAAATGAGTATACCATTTGGAGGAGTTAAAGCCGCGGCGGAAGAGAGAAAGGCTGAACTTGAGGAGCTTCTTCGTCTGAACCGAGGCTACTCCCGCCGCCGTCATTTTTTCTCACCACCACCGTTTATTCTCTCTGACACAGAAGCACGATGACTGAAGAAGTAGAAGAAGGAGAAAGGCTTAGTGGTGTGAGTGTGTATGTAACGGTTCAGTGAGATTAAACGCTCTTTAGGGACCCACACAAGAACCCCACCGACTTACGCTATTAGCTGGACCACTTTTTGTTTGACATTGTCAAATATAGCCGTTTTATCTTTGACACGCGTTACTCATTAATCTCGGTCCCAAAGAGTATCCTAAGCAAAGCGTAATCATTTATTTAGCTTCACCTGATTATAATTAATTTGAATATCCTAAGCAATAATTTAGGAGACTTTATATATACTAGAGGCTTTTCCCGGGCTACGCCCGGGGTATTCGTATAAGTTTTAGTTAAATTAAAAAGTTTACAATAACATTTGAATATAATATTGTTATAGATATTACAATCGATTTTAAACTATTACATTGTAAAAAAAATCATTTGTATTTATTAATTGCCTTGTGTCTAAAATATTTCACATAATTTAACTCACAATTTGCGATTTTTTATTAAAGGAAATCATATATAGAATGATAAGTAAGATGAGTAAAAGTTAACTAAAATACATTTATCTTATTAATTAAGGTTTTCTATAAGAAATTGTAAATTTAAAACTGATTTAAACTTTATTTTACTTTATAATGATTGGGTTGTATTGCAATATTGAAAACTTTCATAATAGAAATTAAATTGAATAAAAAATCAATCCAAACTAAGGATAATAGTGTTTTCCAAACTAATTCATGAAAATACATTATAAATAAAAATTATAACAGACCAAACCAGTTTTAAGAATAAATTTTTAAACAAACCATCACCAAAACTTTATATTTTAATCATAAACCAATAACGACTCTCTAAATTAAGAATTCCGGCCTCATCCCAAAGAGATTAGTCTTTACTTTTATGTTGGTTTCTAACTTTTGTTATTTATTTTAAAGTTATAATCTGGTGTTTTTAAAAGGTTATATATGATGAGAATTTAGTTTAATATTCACAATTTTTGAATTACTTATGAGAGATTGTTGTTGAATGAATGTAATTTGAAGTAGTGGTATAAGTCTAAGTCTTTAAACAACTCTCCATGATGTGTTTGAGTCTCCATTTTACACTCTTTTCATCAAAATTACCAATAAAAGGTGTTCAATCTTTCAATCATCTTAATTACTATCAATGATCGGGCTTATGTTTTAGACTAACTATTATGTTGTTTTGAGCCCAGTTATACATCGTACCATGTTACAAAAAGAACATACAAATTAATAAAAAATGCAATTCATTTGTTTTCACTTTGGAACAAAGTGACAGTAATTAGTTTCCAATATATGGTGTAAGATTAAATATTTTCGACGGCGGAAAAGTCTCACACATTGTCTTCCGAAGATTTTTGTGTGTTTTCCGCTAAAATTTGGTGCAATTGTCTTTCTAAGTTAGTTATGTATCTTATCTAATTTATTAGTCAAATAATTTTTAAGAGGTCCTAAACTTGGGTATATATAAACTTTATGTGTATATATATGGTCTTGAAAATTTTCAGAAACATTTAATCTTTATATCTTTTTGTGCAAAGATCACTTTCTTGTCCCAAATGATATCTTCTTCTTTTCTGAGATTCTTCCAGACATCAGCAATAAACCAGGAGAGAAAAGCTTCTTCATCTTCATTCTCCTCCTCTCCGCTGAAAAGTCAGTGAAAATTGCATCTTCCGACCATGTATTCAATGGATAGAAACGCCGAAGCTCAGGAACACGCATTGCTAAATTATTTAGACTCCCTTGTCTCATGTCATTTAGCTCCGGTATTAATATGACAAATACTTTTGAAGATTGAGTATCATATTTAAATGTCTCATGGACTTTTGTTTCGAAACTTTGGTTTCACCTTGTTCGTGTATTAAATAAATAAAAAATACATCAAATGAACATTATTGTATAAAATAACATTTTCTTGGTTCTTTTCAGTTTAAACGTTTGTAAATAGAAAAAAAAATATTTAACCAAAATTTACGATTGATCCGGAAGTTTGTAGTGTTCTCTTTGTTTTTTCATTTAGTAATAACATTTGCATGACACAAAATTATTACATGTGAATTTAAATCTACTAAAGACTCGTTTACACAAAACTATGAAAAAAACAATTTAAGTGGAGACATGTTCATATAAATACTTATAATACAATCTATTCATAAAACTAAAATCTCTACGAAAGACACATATGTTCAGCTTTTTCTGAAAGAACATGATTTTGGTTTGAGTCTAAGTCTGCGCGGCTGAGTCTGTAAAACGAACAATAATTAAATAAACAGACGCAACCGCAACCGCAGATGCAGATGCATCTTCTGTTCCTTTCGAAGACGCTGGACATTGACGCAGACGCATAAAATAGATTTAGTTATTTTCGTTTGACAAACGCTGCAGCTATTTTCATTTAGTTTATAATTTAATTTTATAAATTTGTAAAACTGTATTTTAAATAAATAGGATGTAGATTAAAATTTGTAAAAATTATATTTAAATAAATAAAATATATTTTAAAAATATTTTCATCCATCAAAATATTATATTTAATTGTTAATTATTTTTAGTCTAATATAAAAAAAATAATAATGTTTTTTGTCATAAAGCATAAGATAAATTAAAAAAATAATAATATATCAAAATATGTGATGGTAAACAACCTCTACCATATTAATTTGTGATGTTCTTACACAAACCTACAATGGTTATATTAATGGTTCTATTTTATTTTTTATTAAGTTAAGTTTTTTATTTGTATGTTTTTATAGCTCTATTTTCATGAAACTTGCTTCACGGAGATACTAAACAACAAAATGTTTAAAAATGCATCCTTAAAAGCACAAACAAAACGCTAAAAGATGTATCAAAATACAACAACTACAAAGCAATCATTCATATTTCCAACGTTTTCTACTAACAATCATAAAATTCTCACGAGCTCAATGCATAAAACCGTCGTCCATAACTGGACTTGTTCGAACTTCCTTCCCAAGGAATAGAACTATTTAAAAGTTGGAATAGAACTATTTAAAAGTTGGAATAGAACTCTTTAAAAGTTTTAGTCTTTCCTCTGCGTGACTCTCCTAAGTCCTGCACATACACTATCTTCAAGTGTATTGAGAGGGTTTGATATGACACCTGCAAAAAGACAGTGACACGGCAGACAAGTAAGAACAAAGAACATACCATTATCAGCTCAATCAAAGTTTTATAAAGCTCATAAAAACAGATCTCAATAAAAAAAGACATGGAAACATCAAAGTTGAGAGGGTCTGCGCATAGAGTGAAACAACGGCTTTACACAAACCTAAGCATCAAAAAGAGAGTGACAATCAAAGATCTTAAGACCATTATATTAAGTAAAGATGTAAACGACCTATTCGAATTTAAAGACACATCAGAACACAAAACCAGTCAATGATCTTAAGACCATTAAATTAACAACTAAAGAGCGAGAGTTGTTGCAGCAGTACTGATAAAAAGCTGCCTAGTCACATAGAAGATTACAAACTAATGCATGCTAAAGTGAAGTAACTCAGGAAGAAAACCTTATTAAAGAGAGTAAAGAAACCTACCAAACATCATACCTTTAGAGCTGGCAAACGACCTGGGACCTGAGCTTTGAGAGGGTCTGATATGAGAGAGCCTCAGACCTGAAAAAAAACGTAAATAATAAGCAATGAACAGACCTTTAGAAGCGGGCAAATGCCAGTACAGATTTTGTGACTTAAACCCACTTGGAAAGAGAGAACAAATGCTCAACTACTGTAGTCACAGAACAAAACTAATCAATCAAAGACTCTCTAATACCCTGCAAACATCAGTGTTATCAGCTTCACAGAGCAATATCAGAGAATTGTTCGCATTTTCCATTTCAAGAATCATGATACAAACTTTACCAAACTAATAGAGGACGATGCAAAAGAATCAAAGCACTTATTAAAGTGACCATGAAAGCTAAGAAAATAGCTACTACTTGTCGATACTACCACAAGAGAAGAACATCAACAGCATCAATCAATACTTGAAATTTAAATTGTACCTTCAACAACAAAATCTGTCTCCTTTATAGTTCTCTTCTATTTGTTGAATTAAATATAAAGCATTATTACCTTCAGCTCAACAAAGTAAACCACTCAACTATCAGTCTCCTCAGTTAAAGCAGGAAGCATAGATAATATATTAGAGGGATCAACATTTCCATGGACTCTTAGCACTGCTCCCCAATCGCCTCTTTCCACAACCATATCTACAGTCTCCCGTTTCCATTTATGTAAAAAACAATAGACGTGGCTGAAACATCTTCTCTTGACAGTCTGAATGATCTGGGAAGCCCAAATGAGAATAAGGAAACGTTAAACCACCAAAAGAGAATCTTTTCCAAGTACTCTTATATGAAACAAACTTAAAACTATACCTCTTTGATGTAGAGTTTGGACCAAGGCTCCCACATCTCGGGAGTCTACTGTCCAACATATGAATCAAATATGTATGTGGTGAGCTAGGTGCTAAACTTTGTACACAATGTACTCTGTGATGAATTTGGGTATATTAGATAAAAGAGCTCACAATATTTTTGGTGCAGTGTCCAGGCGCTCCAACAAAATCCAATACCGCAGCATGTTACTCGACCCCTTGTGTCAGAAACTTTGTGATCTTAGCGATCCAATATATTTAGCGAAATGACCTAGAGCTGGAAACGTTGTCACCAATTTCACATTCCCAACAGAGAAAGAAGCACTTTTCAAAAAAAAAAAAGCAAAGAGAAATTGGATTGCAAGAGATACATACCAGAAGAGAAGGAAGAACAATCTACAACGAACTTCCAACTTCCATCCGTGATGGCAAAGCTTCGATCCGTGAAAAAGTATAGCAATCGTAAAGACTCTCGTTCTTCTTCCCTATCTCTTCTCCATCTCTGCAGTTATGGGAGAGAACACAGCTCC